GTTTATGCCTATAATACTCTTACATTATAGGTTTTAAATTTCAAAATGAAGAAAATACCTACAATATATGCAATATTATGTCACACTTAAAAAATATTTTAATAATATAATAAAGTAATTTTGTACTTATATATAAAGCATTAAATACGGTATTTTAATAACATTGTTATGTGGAAATTAAATCAAAAATAACGTAACATTTAATTCATAATATTTCCTTTATAAATTTAATATTTATAACAATTTGCATGCATAATATATACAGATATAATATACTATTGGTTAAAAATTATTGTATTTTTTCAACATATCCAATAAACTATAAAAATTTCCAAATTGATTTTTTTAAAACTGAAAAAGGAAATGTTATTAACTCATTATGCCAGCTGTCCACTTTTATTCCAATTACAATAATTATAATATAAATCCTAAGTAAATATGCATATAGGATATATATCACATCCACATGTAAATATGTTTAATAATAAAAAATTAAAAATAAATTTTAAACTACAGTTTTGATTTCAAATTAGATAAGTAAAAATTAATGCGACTAAAATGCAACACTAAACGAAAATATTGTAAATAATTTGAATTAATTGAATAAGATATGCGGTGAGAACAAAGCTTAATTAGCCTATTATACATAGGCTAATACATATTTTATAAAAAAATATGCAAACTTTTTGTCATTTAATATTTTTGTCAATCATTTTATTATTTTAAATAAATAACTTATTCAAATATAATATATCGTATTTGTATATCCAAAATTATATGCACTGTTAAAGGACATAAGTGGTCGAATAATTTATAAAATTTGCAAGTAGTACTTCAATTTACTCATTTAGCCGATATCAAACTTAAAACAGGCGTTAAATTAAAATAAATTGAATTTATAAAAAATATTTGTGAATATTGTTCACAACACTCTACTTAAAGCATTATCAACGCACAAAAACTGTAATAAACCAATTTTGTACAAAATTCAGATGTATAATCTAGCATTGTGCTATAAACTATGGTTCAATTCGGAAAGCTATGGGGAGGTCCAGTCAAAATACGAAGAGTACCGACAAAAAAAAACTTATATCACATATTTGTTAGGAAAAATATAATCTATGGCTTCGAAAATCTCCTTAGCCTTAAAAAATATGGTAAAAAAAAAAATTGACATACTTAACCTAGGAAAAATAATTTATGAGTTATTAAATTACAAAAAATTTAAAAAAAATCTACAAATTAGGAATCGAAAATTACTGAAAACGAATACACAGCAACAATCAAGACACAATTGCATGCTTGCGACACAAAATATCAATAACAATATTACTGTCATAATAATAAATAATATGCATAATAATAATATTTACAATGTGAACTGAAAACGTTTTAAGTAAGAATTTCAAAATAGCCAGTTAAAGTACAATGTTTTTCTACTTTTTTTTTCAATTAAAATTGTGCAATTTGAGCAAATTTCTCAATTCAATCTATATTTAAAAATGGACTCGTATATACAATAACGTAAAATTTTCAAGAGAAATTCCTTCCATATTTTCTCATCTTTTATTCCAAATATTAAGTCAAAAGTCAATTCTAGTCAAGCGTAATTTTAGACTTTCTTAAGTAATTTTACTTACAGAAGATGATTAATAAAATCAACTAACAATAAATATTCACGATTTGTTTCCAAATATAGCCCAATAATCATTTAATATAAAGAAAATAAGAAAACTTTTTTCACATTTTTTATTTTCTTTTTCTAAAAAAATAAATGGAATCTAATAATTGTCATTATTAAAGTAAAATAAAACATAATAATTGATAAAATTCTCAAATTTTTTTGAGCAATTGCAATTTTGTATACAAAACTTTATCCACTAATTAAGCAACATCTTAAACTAATTATATTGACTTAAGTAAAACAAAAAAAAATACCAAATTTATATTACATGTAAAACTAATTTGTTAAAAAATATTGAATTTTCAACATGCCCTTTTAAAACCCTTAACTTAATTGAAATATTTATAACCTTGAATATGTTTTTGAAACACTTTAATTTACAATTATTATACTGATTTTAAAAATCTATTAACATTATATCGATTGATCTATGAATAAGTAATCTATCAATATAAGTTACTTAAAAATTCATAGGTATTTTTTTGTAACCTTGCCATACACACATATAAGCATATAACATTAAAAAAATCAATATGCAATTTAATCTTAAAATCTCTTAAAAAACAAAAAAAAAACTACTAGACTGTATTTGTACATAAATGTATTTTTACAAGAGCTCTTTTGTTCTCTATTACATAAAAATGTTACAAAATATTTTGCAAATATGTATTATCAAGCTCAAGCTAAGCTCTATAAAAATAATTTAATAAAACCTACATTTAATCTTATCTAATAATTATCAATCACCAACATCAATGAATTTTATTGGAACAAAATATTATGAAAATGCAAAGAAATAAACTTAGAAAAATTTCAAAGCATCATGGATAGCAAGCACAGTGTAATGCCATTAAATCTTCTAGTTTTGTAAAAACGCAAAAAAAAATAAAAACAAAAATTTCCTTGATTCAAAGAAAATTACAATTTTAAATTTATAAACACATACTCTCATACTAACGCACATTACACCTATGAAAGAAGTTTTCATACAGAGATCGCAAAAATGTAAAACGAAAATTTATTAAAGGTTTGTAAGATTAAACATGGCGTTTGTATCTTTATTATAGATTTACATATTATTATTATTATTATTTCAAAAATATATAATAATATTGTAAAAAAGAAAAATAAATAATTTTCATGTTTAGCAAAGAGTGCACAATTTAAATTGATGCATTACAAAAAAAAGCAAATTATACCAGAATATGTGGGGCAATCTTATACCTTAAAAATGTTATTCGTAAATGATGTAAAATTTAATTAATAATTGAATTGAAAATGAATGTCAGTATTTTTAAGATAAAATTTTATGGGAACAATACTTTATAACACTAGTACAGTTTACTATACTAATATAACACTATAAAGAGTTTAATTGGTAAAAAAACTAAAAACTAAAAAGAGTATAAAACACTATAAAGAGTTTAATTGGGTTAAAGGGTAATTTGTATCTGTTAATAATTATAATATCTGTTAATAATTAATTCTTTAAACGACTAATGAAAAGCAAATGTAAAAATTGAATTTTTCCATTGATATAACTTTACGAATCAGATTGCACTCCATAGTTCTAAGAATCTATGGAAGTTAATGACCAAAATATTTCAAAGGTTCCTAAATGCAACCTTTGACATGACGCAAATAAAAAAATTTAAAGAGACTTTAAGATAATGCTCGAATTCAAGGGTAAATTAGAAGGTTAAGAAAAATAATTGAATTTTTTGGTGGCTTGATATTTACCGTTAGTTTTCTAGGGTCTAAAAGAAAAACGATATCAACAATTTGAAAAAAAAAAAACATTTTAAGTAACATTTGATTTAAGAAGCCCTTTAGCAGTCTTTTTAATATTCAATATTGCTGCGGTAGAAGGAGCTAGTAGCGACATTTTTTCGTTTACAAAATTTAAAAAATGTTTATGGTTTCTTTAAAATAAATAGTCAAAAAATAGGCTTTTTCGGTTTTTGGGAGAGCTTTAACTTTTAGAGGGGAGGGGATAGGTAAAAATTTTCTTCTACGAAAATACGTTTCTAGTAAAGATCTACATCTATGTATAAATGAAATTTCACAAGGTTGTAGAAGTTTTTGTAAATATGTCTACGGACGGACGGACTGAGTCATACTAATAAGCACATTTTTTCAGAATACAACAAATTATCTAGTAAAAGTTCTTTTAGAATTTCAAAAAAACTGCGTAAAAATAGGCGAATTTTATGCCAGAATTTAAAAAAAAGGACAGTCGCTCTACTGCATGATTTTACCAAAATAAATTAAAAACAATTTATGTATATTAAAATTCAAATTAACTTCAACGTATAGAGTGATTAAAACCATTTCATATATGTATACGTAAAACGCCAACTGATTTTAATTACAAATATTTTAATAAACAAAGAATACAGCGGGGAATGAAATTATAGGGTAAAAAAACAGCAAAAAACCCGAAAGAAAAACAACAATATAACACCATATAAATGTTAATAAAATTTAAATATTTCCAAATATCACTGAACCGAATATCAAAAACGGCTTCCCCAAAAAAACAAAAGTGCATAGCAAAAAAAAATAATTTAATTTGTTTTTTTTTGCTTAATATTTTTGAAAAGTACCACTTGAAAATATCAGTATACAAGTTTGTATGTATGTTATATGTTTACACGTTTACCAAATAAACTAAAATATACAACAAAAATTATAACATTAAAAATATACATAGCTTAAATTTTGTTTTTTCACTTTTCTTAAAAATATTTCCAACGATTTTCTTTTGATGTTAATCGATTGAATGCACAAAATACATTTACACAAACATGCGCTTTGAACAAACACATTCGCAGAAAAATTAATTTCGTTTACAATCACATCGATCAACAACAACAACAACAAAACTTACTCTGTTACTGTTACTTAAAACTATGAATGTATACACGTTTGTAATAATAACAGTAAATGTAAGACATTTTAATATTTTGTTTTGTTGTTTTTTTTTTATCTTTTTAATTTCGTTCAATTTTTTCTTTCTTATCGAATTTTATGTTGAGTTTGTTGTGAGTGTGTAGTTGAAGTAGAAAACATTGTTTTTGCTTTCATTAAGTTTTTCTATACAACAATATTTTGGCTAAAAGTTTTCAGGGAAAAATTTTTATTTTTGGCTTCCATAACTATAAAAGTCCATACGAAACAAACAAGAGGCATCATTAACTCGTTTACTTTTCAACAATTCAAATCATTTTCAAATATAAATTTTTTTATATTTTTTTTTCTTTTCTTTATATAAGAAAAACAAACGGTTAAATAGTCGTTAACTACTAAAGTTTCCGTTTAATTTAATTTTTTAAATCTTATTTTCTTTTAAGTAAATAGAGATGAAATTGCTGGTAAGTTAAGAAAAAAAAACAGGATAAAAACAAGGATTTTTCAACACTAAAGAACTTAATAATTCATACAAATTCAATAAATTTTTAGATTCGATACTCGAAATACTCGAAATTTGTAATATAAACAAATTCAACTAAAAATATTGCAAAAGCATAAGTTAAATTTCTTTTTTGTGAAAAATAATGAATATTAGTTTAAAAAATAATTTGTGAACTTTATTATAAAAAAAAAAAAAACAATTATATAGAAAATTGTCTACCCAGTTGAACAATTAATATTACAAAAAAAAATTAAATCAAAAATAAAAGTGAATTTTAAAAAAGAAAACGAAAGTTAAGACCAAAAAATTCAATAAACTGAAAATCATTAAAGCAAAACTTGCTCTAAATTATGAATATGAATTAGGTGGAAAATTCAATGTGCCTACATGAAGCATTAAATTTATTTTACCGAATTTTAAATTATGAATTCAAAAAAAATTAAAATTCATTCATAAATATTAGTTACAGTTTTCATGATTTATTTCCATAATTTATTGGATTTATTCAATATAGGAAAATAATTCGAAAAAAAATTAATTATATGAAATCGTGTGAAATTAAATTCCAAAAAATACTTTCAACAATTTAAAATTAATTTGTAAAAACAAAGAACATTGAACTTAACAAAAATTGAAAGTATTTAGTGAAAATTGAATACATAATCACATTTCGATACTCGAAATCATGTTAATATGAGTTACGTGCATGTAACATGAATTATAAATTAAAAAAATCTTGTAAGGAGTAATTTAAAACTGTGAAAACTAAACTGTGAAATTTAAATTTGATAACTATCTAAAATATTTTCAATTAGATTATAAAAAATTTATACAATTTCACTTTCGTTCTACACAAGGCGGTAAAATTAATTGAATAAATAATTAAAACTGGTTACCTTGTAATGAAAATTTATTTGTCCATTTTCTTTTAATTTTATAACATCAAATTCCAAAAACATTTCGCTTCATTTCAGATAGACATACTTAATTTTTTTCATTACAACTTTCTAATTATTTGCTTAAATTCACATTAATTACGCATCATTTGTTCAAATCTCAAAAACTTGCAAATTCATATTCCAATTTTGTATGGTCCATTTATTAAAATTTAAATATTTCCTTTTATTTTCTTTCAACTGGAACCATATAAAATTCATTTAAAATTTCTCTTATTCGAAACAAAAAATTTTAAGAAATAAAATTGAGCTATTGGAAAAATTTGTAATAAAAAATTTTTTTGTCATTTATTTTTTTTAAATACCTACTAGAATTTAAAAAAATATTTTATAAATTCTTATATTCGTATATATTACATTTACTTGAATACAGAGTACAGCTTGCCTGTTAGCATTAGTCTTATTGGCCAATGCTGAAGAGGAAAAAAAATCTGTAGAAAATGCTAAAGTAGAAGAAAATGCAGCAACACATGACGGTAACGATAAGAAAAATGAAAAACGTGGTTTACATCATTATGAAGATTTTCATCATGATTATGAACATCATGAACATCATGAACATCATGAACCAATAATTAAAGAAGAAAAGACATTAACAATTGTTAAAAAAGTTCATGTACCATATCCAGTTGAAAAGCATATCCCAGTTCCTGTTGTTAAACATATACCAGTACCACATAAAGTAAAAGTACCAAAACCATATCCAGTTGAAAAAATTGTACATTATCCAGTTAAAGAAGTTGTTAAAGTACCAGTACATATTCCAGCACCATATCCAGTAGAAAAGAAAGTACCATATCCAGTACATGTACATGTTGAACGTCCAGTACCAGTTAAAGTATATGTACCCCAACCCTATCCAGTTGAAAAGAAAGTTCATGTTCCAGTAAAAGTTCATGTTCCAGCACCATATCCAGTTGAAAAGAAAGTACCATATCCAGTTGAAGTTAAAGTTGAAGTAGAAAAACCATATCCAGTTGAAAAAATTGTACATTATGAAGTTAAAGTACCAGTTGAACGTCCAGTACCAGTTCATGTTGAAAAACCAGTACCATACAATGTAGAAAAACCAGTTCCAGTACCAGTTATTAAAAAAGTACCAGTACCAGTACATGTTAAAGTAGAACGTCCAGTTCCAGTTCATGTTGATAAACCAGTACCATATGAAGTTAAAGTACATGTTCCAGCCCCATATCCAGTTGAAAAAGAAGTACCATATAAAGTTGAAAAACATGTACCATATCCAGTTAAAGTACCAGTAGAAAAACCAGTACCAGTTCATATTGAAAAACATGTTCCAGGTAAGCATGATAACAAGCAGTTTAGGCGTTATATAAAAATTTATACCATTATAAAATTATTTTTTTTAATTTTTTTATAATTAATTTATTTTTAATTCCATTTTTTCACAGAATATCACGAAAAAGTTAAACCATACAAAGTACCAGAATTAATTCATAAACATTATGAAGAAGCAGAACATAAAGAAATTCCAATTCATGAAGAACATGAAGAATATCAATCTCATGGTGGCTGGGAAGAAAGTGGTGAATCCCATTATCCATAAAAGAATTATTCCTTTCTTATTTAATTATTTATATATAATGTATACATATTATGTATATAAACATTAGAAAAAAGTATAAATTAAAATTAAATTAACAAAACAAATATTATGTCATATATACAAATATTATGAAATCATGTAAAATTGGAACTGATTTAGGACCTTTTAGTTAAGTTAGGAAAACAAAATTTAAAAATTATACTCGTTATATAAAAATAGAAAATTAAATTAGCTAGGCTAAAGGATAAACCTTACATAGAGGACCAAAATTGTTTTGTATATTTTCATTATATTTTATGTTTTTTTTTATATTTGTAAATTTTTTCTTTTGTAAATCCCCCAAACTTCATATATACATCACCATCTCATCATTGTCATCAAAGAGATGGTATAGGAAAGGTATTGATTCTAAAATGCTGTGTTTCTAGAGATTTTCATCTCTCGTTTTATAAATTAAGTGATTTAATTATTTTTATTTTTTGTATTTTTATTTTATTTTTATTTTTTTATATATTTTTTTAGAAAAAATTTAAAAAATCCAAAAAAAAAACCGAAAGTAATTGTCAAGATAAACGAAAATCATTAAAAATCATGTAAATTTTGTTAATTGATACAAAAAAAAAGTTAAAACATTAAAAAGCCAAAAATTATTAAAAAATTAATAATTATATTTTATTTATAAAAATTTAATGCTAAATTCAACACAAAAATGAAAATTATCAGTTAAAATTTGAGTAATGCTAAGAGAATAGCAAAAGGTATACAGTAACAGCGAACATTGCGCACAAATCCGTCAGCTTTGAAAGTAATTAAAAATATTTAACGCATTTCGACTGAACTTGTTGCTTAAATAAGAAGAATTCTCCTCGTTTTTGTGTTTCAAAATAAACTAATATAAAAATTTTACAAGATTTCAACTAGCCAACAAAATTATTAAGAAATTATTCATAATTTTTGCCAAACGGCATAATAATTTCAAAATTGAATAAACTCAAAAGTAGTGATTATTTTTTCATTAATAGTTTAGAAAATAAATAATGGTATAAAAAACCTGTAGTACAATATAAAGAAAATAATCTAAAACAATAATTGATAATTCAACCAGCAATATAAACAAAAGGAAAATAGAAGATCGCTTAATAAATGAAAAGGATAATAAGTTAACAAATGAAAAAAATTAAATCTGCTTTTGAGAAACGAATTCAACAATAAATAAATGTAATTTTCATTTATTTAAATACACTCACTATTTAAACTTTTATAAATTTTCTATTGAAAAGCGTAACTCAATAAAACTTTTCAAATTTGAATAATTAATTTATTTTTAAAATTACAATAACAGTAATAATATAAATATGATAATTGTTATAACATTCTACCCCGATATTGTACTAACAACCACATTAACCACAATTAAAAAACTCATTAAAAATTTTATTTGAACTAAACTGAATTTCTTGTATTTAACAATATTTCATTGCATTTCTCATACTTTTTTAAATTATTTAATTTTTTTCATTATGTCGTGTATTACACTCCAATTCATACAATGTTTATATTCATATTTTGTCATAATTAATATTATTAATATATTGAACAGAAAAGTAATACTAACATATTAATAAAATGGGGCATAAAATATACATACAATCCTAATATACTAATGGTAATAGAAATGGATTCAAAATTTCAATATGGAAATTTTGAAGGGTTTAATCTTGTAAAAATTAAACATACACAAAAAAAATACTGCCTAACTAACTTGCATTTGCTGAACGCTTTCAACAGCAAAAAATTAATTGAAATTTTCCATTGATTAACTAACACCTTTTACAGGAATACAATAATTAAAAAAAAAAAACTCTAATAGCTTTCCAATTCATTAATTAACCAATAGCTATCAATGTACAAAATAAAAACTATTCAAAATTTTCAACACATTTTTTAACTTATAAAAACACATTTTTAAAAATTTATAAAAACAACTTATAAAAACGAATTTCTTTCCTTAAAAATTTTTAACGAAAATTATATAAAAAAGGAAAATTTCTAGCACAAAATTTGATTGTATATAAAAATCACGGATTAAATTAAACGATCTCTAATATTTTTCTATCTGTTTTACTATCAGTATCCTAGGCGTACTATATATTGCAGTAGTAGTATGTGCATGTGTACCGGTTTTGAATAATAGTAAAATCTTCATTTATTGAAATCAAAATTAACTATATTTCGTTACCTAGGCTATAAAAATTACGTAATTTAAATAATTTTTTAAAATATAACTTCATATTACAAAAATATACCCATCTAATAAGCCATAATGGTATATAGCTAATTTTACAACATCTCCTAATAATATACTTATATTTGATTTCTACAAGAAAATTATTTAATTTTATATTGTTATAAATATAACAATCAAACAAATTTTGCTAAATATTCGTATTATTATTATAAAATCGTACAATACTCTTAGCATGTAGCGTGTTTAACGTATAAGTTAATTATAAAAATAATAACAGTAAACATTAACAGTTACCACTAGACAAAACATATAACACACATACACAAACAACAATAAATTTATATAAAATTGAGAGTGTTATAACTAGATCCAGTATTTCAAGATTATTATAAAATCAACAACATAATAAATTAAATGTTTATTATAGCGAATTTAAAATGTAAAAAGAAAACATACAAAAATAAATATCTATATAATTTAGCTTCCTGTTTTAACAGTCATTTTAAATTGTTATGGTATTGTAACGTCCGCAAGCATATTGTGCAAGAAAAATTAAAGTATTTACCGTTATAGGTCAGTAATATGGGGAAAAATAGTAAACAAAATGTATGTTAGTATGTCCGTTAACATACGTACGTATATTGTTAGACGGTGCAATGTACTACAAATGATTTAGCGGAATAAAATAAATGTACTGATAAAAACAACACTGTAAATAATAAAATAAATATTTTACTTTTTCCTTATTTTCGATACAATTATGGATATCTTATTCGACAGAAGAAGAAATTTAGCTGGCATTTCTATTTTTTATATGTAAAGATTTAGTATGATGCATCGCAATCATTAAATAAGAGAATGTCACGAGTATAAAAACAACAAAAGCAAAAATATATTAACAGTCCAGTTAACAACCAGATTTTTTTTTTACTTTTGCAAATTTATACAATTTTCTTCAAAATTAATTGCGATGTAATGGTAAATTAAAAGAAAAGTAAAATAATGAACAGCAAGACAAGTTTTTACATTAAAGAAAATCGAAAGTATTTTTCTTTATTTATTTTTGAGATTATAGCTAAATTTTTTTATTTTTTCACTAAATAATGTTTTGCATTTATACGAGATGCTATATACACATAATTGTACAGTACTCGTATGTATTGTTTATTTAGTTATAACCGCCTAAATTATCTATAAAAACTAAAATTTTCGGAAGTTTTAAATTTTAGACTTAAATAAATAGATTATTTGCACAATATCAATAATTTTAAACTTGCAGTTTTCCAATGCCAGTGTATCAAATTAAAAATTATTAAGCACATAATGAATTGTATCAAGCCAATGGCTTGTAAAGTAACACTTTTCTCTTCACCAAGTGAAAATACTGCTTTTAAAAACAAACAATCTACTACATTAATAAAATTACTTTTATTCACAAACCAAAATAAGTTTAAGATTGCATATATTTAGGATGAAGAAAAAAAAATATTGAAAGGTTCAAATCCAATGATTAATTGTGTGAGTCAAAATAAATAAATGCCGAAATAATTTTTTTCAATGAAGTAAACTATTTATTGCGTTGGTATTTAAAAATTGTTAAAATTTTAGATCCCTACAGTTTACCGTCTAAAAGAAAAACGGCATCAGAAATTTGAAAAAGAGATAACGTTTAGTTTTAGCGGCTGTTTTGTTGTCTTAGAGTTCAGCTAAGCTATGCTGCGGTAGAAGTCCACCACTGCTTATACGTTCACATAATTTGAAAAATGCTTATGGGTTCGTTTAAGTAAGTAACCAAAAATGTCATTTTTAAGAGTCTATTTTGTATATAAAATTTCACTTCTGTGTATTAAGGGATGTAGAAGTTTTATAAATAACAAACAAGGACGGGGGACGAACGGCGACACGGACAGAGTTAAACTAATAAATATTTTCTTACAAAATTTTTTCGGAAAATTGCTTAAAAAATTATAACAAATATTCATTATATTTACACACAATGGAATTAAGTATCCTGACCAGATAGTATTGCCATATGTACATAAGTGGCTTTTATTTAACTTCAATTTATTTTTTAAACGATCTTATTTTTTGAGTTTCATTTAATTTGAAATATTTCTTTTCCAATTCAAAACTATTAGCGACTAATTGAATTATTTTAAATTTAACTATAATAATTTATATTGTAAGGGTATAATGTGGTATAATAATATAATTTAAAAATTTATCTTTTCCATTCTTCAACCTTACAGCAAACAACATTTTGTTCAAATCGCCAACATTTAATATACATACTTGTTACATTTAACAGCTATACCTAACATTTTTTTCTAAATTATTAATATTATGCTTTGATAAGCCACAAAGGCTTTCATTTTAATTTTTGAAAAGTGGTTGTTTTTAAACCACAAATTTAGTTAACTATCTCACCTTCGTTGTATGCATGCTACATGGAATTATTATTAATCTCATAAGAACATTTTTCTAGAACATTTTTCTGTCCTATCTTATGAAAATTACAAAACCACATAAAAAATGTACCTATATGTACCTACATATATTTTAAATAAATCATAAAAAGTAAATAGAATATTACTCACTTCATATAAGGTACATTTGCTGGAACATGATATTTTGCACCTGGATCAAAATCTAGTTCTGATCTCAAAACAGGAGGCTTTATTCCACCATACTGCTCTCTATATAAACGGATACAAACAATAAATTAAGCAAAATGTTAAAACTCTTTGAGTTCAATAAGAAAAAATTACTCTAATACAAAATCAATTTCGTACCTTAAGTTCCAAAAATGACAATTCATAAACTCTCTATTGATTCGACGGCTAAATACGTCATAACGCCAAGCCTCTAAAGACAACGCAAAGGGTAAAAATGCCAACTATAAAGTTTAATTGGATAACTAATCTTAAATATGTAATTGAAAAGGAAGTACTAACCTTATCAATTGCCATTGTAAATAAATAATTTATGTCATAAGGAAAATCTTCAACCGACTTTTGTATCAAACCTAAAGTTTGCAAATGTTTCAAGGTTGATACTGATAAACCAATTGCATCGCCTATAGCTTCATGAAACCCTAAAATTTGAACTCATTTCCGTAAAATATTTGTGTTGAAGTAATAACTCTTTAGCTTAATACCTGGATTTGCTCCATCTCTATAAACTTTTGGTAGATGTCTATAATTTAAAAAATATTGTATATGGGCCATTTCGTGATGAACATTTATAAAATCCTTTTGTTTGATTTTCGTGCACATTTTAATACGATAATCGTGTCTATTACAAAAATCCCATGCGGAAGGCTGACACAAGACTTCGCGATCTGGAAGCAATTGTATAACAGAATTTATCCAAAATTCTTTAGGCATTGCGGACATATTCATTGAAACAAAGAACTCTTCAGCCAATTGAAACATTATTAAAGGTGTATATCCTTGTTCAATCATTTTTGGAGTTACATCAATAAACGAACGACCAGGATATGGTATTATTATATCTAAAATATTTGTCCAACTTTGCGCATACATATTGCCGAAAATGTGTCCTGGTAATGGTGCATTTCTATTGATTTTATCTGGACCATAAAATTCTCTTAATTTTCTACGCACGTATGCATGCAACAACTCATATAACGGTTGTATTTGTTCCCAAACACGTTCAACTTCTTGACGAAAATCACCAGACTCATAAGCCGAAAACCAATATTCTCCACCATTTGTTTGGTCTATAATGGAAGCAAACAAATAGCCACTATTATTTAATAAAATTTATTACGCAATTTTGGTCTTATTTAAAACTTTCTTATTTAAAATATCAAGCGCAAGTGCTTTCTATATAATTATTTACCACTTAGAAAGAAATTGCGTTTATTCCTTTCCAAATATCTACTAAATTTATTTACTTGAATGAAATTTGAAAACAACAAAATTAGTTAACTTACTATTTACAAAAGCAATTTCATTCATTAATTCTATAAGTTGCTCAAAACTATCACGCATATCTCTACCAGCTTTACGATGAAACTCTCTCCAAGTATGCTGAAGTTCATCCCAATCACGACTTCTTGCCATTATAAATTTTAAATCCGGATTAAGTTTTAAACCACATTGGAATGGTTGCTGATATGCACAAATCGAAGAAGCGTGATAAAGAACAAGCATATCATTGATAAGGCGATTATACTAAAAGGAAATTTTCATTAAAATTTATCAATCATATTGAATATTTGAAAATTAATTTATTTGAAATTTACCCTATCCAACTGATCTGGTGGTAAAGCATTTGGACCAACTTGTGTAAGAAGACGATATTGACGTGCCAGGTTCTGATCAAATATTAATGCTGGATCAATATTTCGGGATAGTTCAAATATATTTCTCATATAATCAGAATATTTTTGTTGACCCAATAACTAATAAAATATTACGTAAGTAAAATAGTATTGTTTATATAAGTAAAACTAGTAAGGGTGGAACATTTGTCACAAAATTTTTCAAATCTAAGCCAAAATATCGCATACGTAGTTAAATGTCCACATCTAGTTTAAAACTTTTAAGCTCTTTGAATTTCAGAGAAATTAGAGTGCAATTTCTACTTTTCTTTAATTTAAAAAAAAAAATACCGCAATAATTTAACATTGAATTCAAATCAAAATCTTTTAACCTTGTACCAGTTCTTACGGTGTCTACGACTTAATATGTTTAGTGAAGAAAGAATATACTTATTAACAAAAAACAGAAAAAACAACAAAAGAGCACGCGATCATATAAAACTAAACGAATAAAAAATAAGTGTTTACTTTTGCTGTACTTTAACCGTGTAGACTTGTGGTACCTTTATTGTTTTTCCCAATGTACCTGTAAGAACATTATTATCATTGTTAAATTAAGTAAAAAAAATAAATATTTTCATGTCAATGTCATAGTAATTGAACATAGCCAAAGCTTTTGTGCTTCTCGTCATTTTGTCTTCGCTCTAGTGTCATTATGTGTTGCTAGTTTTTTCTTTATAAATCATATTTATGACAAATTATTTTTGAATACATACCTCATTCATCATCATATCTACACTATGCATTAACATAGAGCTCAAAAGTTTTAAACATTAAAATTAACAAAAACGAAAAAGTTAAAAAAAATATCTATTTGTTTTTTTTCTATTGTACTCTAATATGATTTGTGACTTACTGCTTCCGTTTGAGTAATTTCATTAACACCAGTCTCATAATTCCATTGGGCAACAACATTTGCAGTACATTCTAATGATCCTCTATGATCGTTCTCAATTAAAAAATTACGTAATTTTTCCATTTCACGAGCATATCTACGATCTTGTTCAAGACGATATCTTTCATCATTAATATAACGAGGATCATTATTAAATCTTGGATCATTATTAAATCTCGGATCATTATTAAATCTGGCGTCGTTATTAAATCTAGGATCATTATTAAATCTAGGATCATTATTTAATTGCGGATCAGAATATGGTGGTCGTTGTGTTGTTGTAAAACGATCACGATCCCGATTATAAATATCTGGATTATTGAATTGACTTTGATTGTATGAGATGACATCATTATTACGATTGCTATAAGGATTTCTATTATCATATTGATTAATTTGTCTGTTATACGTATTTGGATTATAAGTTGATGGTGGTGGATAATTTGGATAATTTTCAGTTGTTACTACGGAACCATTACTAAATGGGCTTTGATATTGTCGTCCACTATTATAATTATATCGAAATCGATCATCTGGATTTATACCAGCCTAAATTAATATATTTTTAACACAATTCACCATAAAGCATTTTTAATCAAAAATACAATTACCATTTTTTATTTTCTTACTTACCATATAATCATTTGGTCTATCATCAGCTTCTAATTCACTAATTGAACCATATGGTGGTCCAAATCTCATACTACGATCATCATCTGGATTATTTAAATAACGATTTCTATTTAAATTATTATTAAGTTGATCTGGTGTATAACTATTTGGAAAAACATTCGGCCGAATTGTTGGTTCAACTGTTGGTAATGGTGGTAAATTTAATTGTGGATTCGCAAAAATATTTTTAATACTAATTATTATTAAAGTGAACACAAATTTCATATCAATATGATAATTATAATAAAATAATATTTTCATATTTCACGTAAAATTTCTAATCTATTTTTTTTTATTAATTATCTCACTTTGTCGTTTCCCAAATAACATTCGTATTAGAAATTTTATTAAAATATTTTCATAAGGGTGATTAATAATTCATTAATTATTTTCTAAAGCGAAAGTGTATGGACTCAAAATTTAAGTAATACTTTCAATTTTTTATTATTAAACTACTATTTGAAGTGAAATTAAAAAACGATAATTCATATAAAAATTATAATTGTAAAGATGCAATCATTAATGATTCACTTGTAAATTCAAACAAAATTTTAAAATTCAAAATTGGGTTTTTCAGTACAAAATTTTCATGTCACAAGAACACTAATATTAGAGTAACCACTACATTAATTAAGAGCATTTTAAATAATTAAAACGAATAATATTTTAATATTTCAATCTATTCTACTAAAATCTTAAATATACTTATATATTTACATAATACGTATAAAGTTCTCGCGGCGATTCCTAACTAACAACTAATTTCAAATTTTACTTTAACAAGTAGAAGTAAAAAATTTTAATTTTTTCATAATTAAAGTTCGGGTAAGTTTTAAAATTATAACTAATTCTTTTTTGTTCTTTTTTTTTATAATATTGTTTTCATTTACAATTACTGAACATAAAATTGTTAGCTTCTCAAGTATGCGGGTTTGATATATAGTTACTTTTATATTTGACAATGATAAGATTTTTCATTTAACTTTAAGTTTTTCCATTAAAAAAAATAAGGTATTGTTTTCCACGAGAATTTTACATGTCATTAGAAATATTTATATAGAGAAAAGAAAAAAACCATATGCGGATTTACAGGCGGGGTAAATTATGTTTTTTATGCTTATATCGAAAATAACTTATATAGAAAATTGTAAGAGTAAAATAGTTTTTATACAACGTAAACTATTGGAAAAGACATGGTTTAAATCCAAAAATAATCAAAACATTATTATTCGGTCAACTTGTTATTCAAGAACCTATTGCAAAAGCTATTTAAGAAATTGTTATGTAATTTACTAATTCTTTATTTATTTTTATTAATTTTAAAATTTTGTCACTATTTTCTAGAATTTTATTTTCAGTTAGGTAAAAACATTTTTTAAAAAAAAATTATAGTAATTATTTAGGTATTAATGTATATTTAAAATTTTCACACCCCCCTCCAATTTTATATGAGTAAAACCGTCCCTGAAAAAGAGTAACAAAAAAAAAAACCACACTATTGTAATACACTTAAAGAAGAGGTCAGATTAAACCTTAAATTAGTTTTCTTTAAAATAACAATCAGAATAACAACTACAGTAACAAGGTAAAGTAAAACTAAATATTATCAAAACAAGCACATTTCGTCTAACACATGATTTATAGCGTTATGTTAAAAACGGTATGTTATAATTCTACTCGTAGAATCCTACGAATTGCAAAAAAGAAATTGGCAAATACGAATTCATTTCCATTTATGGTAGCTTGAGGAATTTAGGGAGGTATTTAGAGAGGAGAGTTAGAGGAACTGAAAAAGAAAACCAATACTTAAAAATTTTAAAACGACCGTTCTCTTTAAATTGCTTGTTTCATTAAATTGATTGTTTCATAGACTATAAAAACATTTAGTTATAATAAATATTCGGAGCAGAATTTCAGAAATTCGGGATTGAACGATTACGAACTTCAGAATTCGGGGGGAGGTAACGATTTACGAACGAAATTTATGATAGGACTCATAGTCAGAATTTCAGAATATGTTGATATAGGCGACGAGGTTTTTATTTTAAGGAACATACGTACTGCATACAGGTGTGAGGTAGGTTCACTTAGGAATGCAGAAATGCTCTTTAAAAAATCAAATATAATTTGCATGTTATCAGGCGTTTGCATAAATAATTATATAGAGAACTAAAAGTGAATGATTCAAAATCACATGCTAATGATAATTTGTTAAATTATTGTTCTCGATAAAAAAAAAATAATACTGAGGTACCGCTGATGAGAACTTAAAACAATAATTATAATGACAATACTATATATTAATTTTTTATATTTTTTTGTTTTTCTTTAATCATCAATGCAATTTAACTGCCATATACATGAAATAGTACAGTAGAACAGAAAGGTTCTTCTGTATTGAATATTGGAAAGCTTAAAAATATAAAGCGCAAATACATACATACATATGTTAATTACATTATGTAAGTACTAAGTTTTGAAATTCATGTAATCATATTAACTTCAAATATGTATATATTTGTAAACAATTAACAAAGATATTATTGCTCGTAAACCACTTTAATCTCTATATATTAAATAAATTGTGTTAGAATAATTATCAGGGTGTGATTCATACTATATAGCACATAAAGCGGTCAATCTCAATTATATTATAGACCATAATAATTTTGTATGTTATGTAACCCACATTGGCATTGTAAATGATTTTTTATTTACATCATTGCGACATACTTCTATGCTTTAAGTATTCATTCTTATTACATGCATATATATATATCTAATATATAAAGTACAAAATCTTTATAAATGAATATATGGAAAGCAAATTTGTAATTTTCGGATTTTCGAAAATTTAAGAATTCGAAATATTTTCTGATTTTTTCGAAATTGTTAGCTTACTTTTAATAATAGCTACAAATAAAATCAGCCCGCTACAACATTATGCAAAAAAAAAGAGAGCACTACAATTTCTTAAAGACTTCCTGATGTTATATGCCTCAATAAATTCGTTAATATAAAGAAATTTATAAAAATATTTATAATTATTGCCAGCCCAAGCAATGTCTGTTCAAATATTTGATATTTACTTATAAATATATAATGTAATTATTAAGTATGTGCTGCACAAAATTTTCGAATATTAAAGTTTTTTTTCTGTTTTGATTCGAACTCAAATTTTATACTTTTTACAAATTTGCAAAATGTCCTTTATATAATACAAAATTTTGAGTTCGTAAATCTTAAATTTTAAGCTCTGGCTCAAACTGGAATATTACGAAGCTATTGCATCTAATTAAAAGGGTTTTTTTTTTAAATTGAATTTCAAAATGAAACCATGTATTAATTTTGCTATTATAGTTTGTTATCAAGTTTTATAAGAACAATTTATATAAGTGTTTTATGCAATTTATAACATATAAAGTATAAATTAAATTAATTTTTTAATACTTTTTATTATTTCACCGCACCTATGTTCATGCATATGACGTACCTAAAGGGTAATTAAATATTATGAAACAACTGCATACTCTTTATTAACAGTATTGCATGCAGTGAGAGAAGTTATGAGATGGCACCAAATTTCGCATGTAGAGTTTTTAAGAAAAACCCACTTCTCCATGGTGGCTAAGCGTGTTAGTGATTCGTTTTATGTATGCATAAGTGTATCTCAAGACTGAACGGATGGGAATGTCACGAAATGATAAACTTTTTCAATAACTTTTAGAAGAAATTACAGCAACTGTACTATTACTACAAGCAAAATTAACATTTTTGCATATATAAAGAGAAATAATCCACCATTTTTCATGAATTTTAATATTGAGTGTGTTCGGCTCGGAATCAGAAATTTGTCTAAAGGCCGGTTTGACGGAATTTTTTGAAATTTATTATTTGAACTTTTCAGTGAATTCGTATGGCGGAAAGCTACCCCCAACCAAAAGCGAAATTTAAATTATTCTAGGTTTGCAAAGAACACTACTAGACAATACACCTTGTGGTCGATCATTTGCTGACCATATCAGATTTTTTTTATACTTATTAATTTCATTCAATTGCAAAATAATTAAATTATAAATCTTCTACCTTCATCTACACTATATAGTGGCTATAATTTCAATAAAAAAAAATTTAATTACACTAACGATGATGTTATAAATTTTGTTGAGCGATTTTTTAATTGTTACAATACAATGTTAAAATAATCAACATCTATAATTATCAAAAGTATTTAATGGGATAAAGATTGCAAATCAAGAAAAGTTTTTATTTACTGATTCAGTATATAAAAAACTTCAATTAAAAATTTTTTTATTTATGTAGAAATTTTATTTAAAATGATAGTTGAAAATATTACTAAGCTTGTTGTCTTCAAATTTTTAAATATTTTTTTTTTTCAACTTCAACAATTGTTTGAACATTTAATACAAAAACAGACAGAAAAAAACGCAAAAAAGTGATTGACCGAAGCGTCGATTATTTTAGATATACATGAACACAAACACATATTACTTGCACAGATAAATCGCAATTACAACAAATGAGAATAACCACCGCATTATATAATTACTTATATACATGAAATATATCTAATGTAATTATAATAAATATTTAGATTTTTTCAAAACTACACATAATAATTTTTGTTATCATTTTTTCAATGTTTATATTGTAAAATTTAGCCAGAAAATTGTTTTGCATCCAATAAAATTTATTTTTAATTCACCATTATTTTGGCTTAATTAAATGGCGCTTCTCTTATTGTACATATATTTTTCTCTAATATAATTTTTATATAGTCATCATCACTTGCTAGTTGACCTTCAATTTTTTAACGAAATATTTTTTTTTATCATTAAATATGCTATGAACTTAAAATAATGAATTTTTTATACAAAAATGACAAAAAACAATAGCAAAAAAAAAATGATGTGGTCAGCACATAACCGACCGCAATGTGTATTGTCTAGTTAAGTGAAAGTGTTACAGAATATTATAAAAATGTCTGTTAAATACTTCTTTCCAATTTTTAGGACATTAGTAAGCTTATAGTTAACATACCTAGAAAAATGTAAATTTGGCTCTTAGTAGAGTTTCTCTTTGTGCTACCCGAATTCCTTGAAATGCTCGCCAGTTAGTTTCGGTAACAACCAGAACTCAAATTTCAAGAAACTCCATCAATTCGTTCCGTAGATATGGTGAAAAATGTAAAATCGGCCCGCAAATCAGTTCTCGAGCCCTGATCTTTCCAAAAAATTTATATGTTCATAGTTTTCATACGAGGAATTTATATATTAAATTTCAATGAAATCGGTTGATTATTTCTCTTTATATACACAAAAATGTATATTTGGCCCGTAGTAAACGTCCAGTTGCTGACGCCTGATTTCTTCCAAAAGCTAGGAGGTTTCATCGCCGGTAGAGCAAAACTTATATATGAAATTTCAAGTAAATCGGTTGAATATGTTCTTCAATATGCTCAAAAATATAAAACAGGCCCGCTAAAAAGTGCAGTTCCTGAGGCCTGATATATACCAAAAGTTGATCGATCCGTGCCATGGTGGAAATAAACTTACATATAAAATTTCATTAAAATCGGTTCAGCCGAACTTGAGATACACGCGTACACACACAGACCGCCAGACCGACAGACCGACAGACCGACAGGTTGCTAAAAATAGTTTATTTACACTTCCCTACTATAGAGAAGTACGTTCCCACCGAAAACTCGATATGCAAAATTTGTTGCCATCACATCACCTACCTATTGTTTACACAATACGGTCGGTAAAAATTAAAACGAAAACAAAATTTCAATTCAAGTTTTTCGAAAAAAAAAACAAAAAAAAAATTTATAAAAAAATTGATTTACTAAAATATATTTTTGCATTATCAAATATTTTATTTAATAATTCTGTAAAATATATAAGCTCTATTTAATTAAGAACATTATAGATCAATGCAAATATGTCCAAAATTTAAAAGGATCAAAAGCCATTTAGAAATAAGCATTATACAATCATCCTTATGAACAAGAAAGTTATCGTATTACGGGATCTCCGCTAAATGTACTCAAAAATGAAATATTCAGCCCTAAAATGAATTCCACTAGTAGAATCCTATGAATTACGAACATAACTATACGACGTAGACTTTTGAATGATCAAAAATTCCTTTCGTGGAGACTATGGATCAGCAATGGCAGTATCATTTTTCGGAGTATGAATATCAGTATTTTATTTCAACTATCAAATGTTTATTTCTATTTTTTGGTTACTGTTTCAGTAACCAAAGTTTCAGTATATCTTTTTATATGAAAGTATTGCAGTTTTTTTAGTTTTAGAATAAATTCGAAAAGTGCATGAAAAATGTTTCTTATATTTGTTTGGCAATATGAATTCATTTCCTTTCATGGTACCTGTTGCGTTAGAGAAACTGAGTTAAACTCAAACAAAAAAATTCAAAACGTGAGAATTTAAGAAGACCACTCTCTTCAAATTACTTGTTACGTGTGATTATTTCTATCATAAACTTTTGAGGGTAATTTTTACTACGAACGGAACATCGGAATAAATTTTATTAGAAACGGAATTTCTAATTATCCATTACGAATATTCGGAACAGAATTTTAGTTGTTCGTAATTGACAATATGATATTCGTAATTTTCCGAATTTCAGAACTAAGAACGAAATCCATTATAGATCTGATTTATCATTTATTCAACTAGCTTGGTCACTTTAGCATATGACATCATTATTTTGTATAATTCGCAAAAATGAAACAAATTTAAAAAGTATTAATTAATAATTAATTTGTTTATTTTTTGTTTTTAATATTCTTGTATTCCAACAATAAAAGTAAAATATTAAAAAATATTGATTATTTCTCTCAATATTTTTTTAATATTGATTTTTCATTAAACTTAAATATATTATTCAATTTATTTAAATCTAATACTATTAAAGCTTAATTTTATTAAATTTAATTATTTATTCAAAAATTTCGTTTGAAAAACAACGAAAATAAAACATGTAAATTATTAAAATGATAATTTCTTAAAAAAAAAATATTAGGCAATTATTTCAGGATTCTAATATATAAAATTATTAAAATTTGAATAAGCTTTTCTATATGCTAAAAAATTTTTGAAAACTAAGATTTAAAAAAAGAAAAATCAATTTAGTCTGTGATCGAATCTTGGTATATTCAAATCGAAAAATCGGATCTAAAACTTTAACAAAATATAAAGAAAAAACAAGGTATTTAAAATTTATGCTTTTTTTTTGCAAAAAATAAAAAACTGGTTATTAATTGAAATTTAAATAAAATTCTATGTTAATTATTATTTAATATTCAAATTACATAACTATTTATTTAATTTAAATTAATTATATAAAATTATGAGTTATTTTTAGTAAAGAATTAATCTTTTAAAATAAAATTATGAATTAAATTATTTAGAGTCATCGTACTAATTGCTATAATTTTACACATAGTGTGAAGAAAATCTTTTACGATAATTTTTATTTCGAAATTTATGTCTTAAATGTATTATAGAAACAAACGGAAATTAAACTTTTCAATATTTTTTCTAAAAATTGTTAAAATTTTAAATAGCATTGCAACAAAATTTAGAGTATTAAAAAATTTTAATAAAATTATAAAATTAAATTACCGTAACATCCAAAATACAGTGAAAAAAATTTACTACAATTACGGTAATAAAAAGTACTGCATCATAGTTTCGATTTTTGCACTACGCCGTCTGCTTTCTTACTGCGTAGTTAAAATCCATTTTAGATTTTCGTATCTTGCTACATTATATAAATTTTTTATTCTGCAATATGGAGTACAGAAACAATGTAATACTACATTAATACTGCGTTTTGGGTGTCAGGGTTATTAAGTTTATAAGGTATATTTTATATCAATATACGATTCTTATAAGTATTGAAAGGATTTACAGCAGTTCCACAATGTCTTTGACTTTAAAAACACAGAAATATTGTTATTGAATTTTTTTATTTGAAAGTCAGAAGTAAAAGTACATTAAACTACTAAAATATTAACCATTTTTATAAAAATTTTCTTTTATAATTAAATAACAAATTTTTAATTTTTCCGATTTTTTAAAATAGCATAGTCGCAGTACAAAATGCCACACTTATACGTTCTGGTAATTTTGGAAACATATTAATTTTCTATAAATAAATAATTTATTATTTTTCTATTAAAATTTTTCTAAAGATTTTTGCGTTAATATCATCATTATGTTTTGTTAAATGTGATATTTCCAATGAAGAAGAACTGAAAAACTTCTTAGATAATTTTGATAATGAATTAGCTACAATTAATGATCAAAAAACTGATATTGCTTGGAAAAAGGATGCATATTATAATGAAGAGGAAGCTGAAGAAGGTGAAACACCAGAAGAAATAAAATTATCAAAAGAATTAACTAAATTAAAAAAATTTATAAATGAAGAAAAAACTAAGAGTAAATTTAATTTAAATGATATAAAAGATAATAAATTAAATGATTTATTTACGAATCTACCAAATCTTGGTTATGAAGCATTAAATGAAGACGATATGGCAGAATTAGAAGCTACACAAGCTAATATGTCTTTAATATATAGAAAAGTGTATATATGTTCATTTGAAGATCGACAATTGTGTAATTTAACACTTATACCACATGTTCAAGAAATCATTCATAATTCTAATAATACTGAAGAAATTGAATATTATTGGAATGAATGGCAAACAAAAAGTGGTTTTCAAGCAAAAGATGATTTTACAAGATTTATTGAATTTTATAGAAAAACTGCTACTGCAAATGGTTATCAGAAACCATCAGATTATTGGTTTAGAAAATTTGGTAAAGGTGATGAAATCATACGAATTATAGATAAATTAGTAGTACAAATACAACCATTATTTGAACAATTTCACGCACGTATTCGTGGTTTATTAAGACAAAAATATGGATCTGAAACTATACGTTATAATTGGCCATTCCCACAACAATTATCAGAGAAATATATTAGTGCTGCTTTTCGTAATGAAGATCATGATGGTATTGAATTACCATATCATGAAGCTGGATTACCGAATGTTACGGAAGCGTTACAGAAAAAAGAACTTCTACCAAAATCTTTCTTTGAATTAGCTGAAAGCTTTTACCAATCTATTGGTCTTACTCCTCTCGAAAGGTAAATATATAATATAATATTGATAGAACATATGAAATATCTTAATATATAATTTCTAAATATCTTAATAATAATCGAATATTTTTATTATGCAAGTGATTTCTGGGATAAAAACGTTTTACCTAAAGGTGATCCAAGCGAAACATATTTATATTGCACAAATAAAGTATACAATTATTATGGTAAAAATACATCACCAAAAATGACACATTGTCCGAATGTAGATAATCTACGTTTAATGAATATGTTTGAGACTGTCTCTACTTTACATTTTCATAAAGAATCTAAAATTCAACCAACACTATTTCAAATGGAACCGTTTCAGGATTTCTATGAATCATTAGGAAAAGTTTTCTCATTATCAGCAACAACACCAAAATATTTAGAAAAAATTGGAATATTACCAAGTGATGCTTATAATGCAGAAAGACGATTGAATAGATTATACTTTTTGGTAAGTGAACAAGTTTTTCTAACAATTTTTTAAACATTCTATTAATAACCTCAATTCATTTCTAAATCAAAGGGTTTCCAAGAAGTTTTCGTCCTTCCAGTTTTATATATTCTTGATAAATATCGTATTGACGTTATGAATGAGAAAATTAAAACATGGGATAATTGTGCATATTGGGATCTTACCGAAAAATATACTGGAGCTATACCACCATATCAAAGATCAAATAAAGATTTTGATATACCATCGAAACTTTTAATAGGTGTTGATGAAATTTATTCAGGGTAAAATATTACAAGGACACATTTAAAAATTTGCACTCTTCTATTACAATTTGATTATTTTTTTTAGAACAATCATTGGTACAGCAATTAAATATCAAGTTTATAAACATTTATGTGAAAAAGCAGGACAATATGAAAAAGGAAATCCAAATTTACAATTAAATGATTGTGATTTATCAGATCATCCTGAGATTGGTGAAAATGTTTCGTAAGAATATTAAAAAGCAATAATGTAAGTTCTATACTATTTATTGTTTTGTTTTTTTTTTCCCGGTTTTAATATATAGAAAAGCAATGTCACTTGGATCATCAAAATCATGGAAAGAAATCTTGTCTATATTAACTGATGGTGAAACTGAACTTAGTTTTGATGGTTTAATTGAATATTTTGAACCATTAATAGAATGGTTGAAAAAGGATAATGAACAAAATAATGCTGAAGTTGGATGGCAAGAAACCAATCGTATGTTTAATTTTATTTTTTACCTTGTTAATTTAAAAATAACTAATTTTTATATTTAATTCAATTGCAGAATGCAAAGCATAAAAGAAGTGTCTTAATAATTATTGTGATTACATCAATGTGCCAATGCTTAATTAAAAAAAAAACTTGCCAGTTTTCTAATAATAATTGTTTTTTTTTCTACCAAATTTTGTACCTGAAGGATCAATTGAAAATAAAAAACAAATTTTTTTAAATATACGAGTTTTTCTTACAAAGAAGCAATATTAGTTATGCAATCATATATTTTTGTGAAAATATTTTTTAAATCTAAAATTCTATCAGACAGTTCTAAATTTAGAAGCTTAATTTTGATTCGATGCCATTGGAAGAAAGTCTAAGTTTATTTTTTGTGTTTGAAACGGGTTTTCTATTACTTTAATTTTTTTCCAACTCACTCGCTCTCACAGTATCAAAATTATGTTCCTAATTTATTTCAAAATAAATTAATATTTTTGAAAAGAATTAATTTTTTTTTTAAATTTTAGTTTCGACTTCATTAAACCCTTTACAAAAATATTGCATTTAGGTTTGAAGTAGATGATGTAGTATTCAAAATTTTTTTGTTAATTATTTTTTATTAGAAATCTTTTTATATTTTCTATTTTTATAATAATTTTATTATTTTATAATTGGTTGCATGAATAAAATCAGGTTTTTTAATTAAGAGTTAATAAACCGGTATAGGTTTTTTCTAGATTACAATAAAAAGATAATAATATAAATGTAAATAAACAATAACAAAAAAATTAATAATTAAAATGCAAAATAATCGAATAATTTTTTAATTTATTCAAATTTCTGTGAATTAAGAAAAAAAAATATTTCTACTATATCACAACTTTTATACAAATTTATATAGAACAAAATTATTACTGCCATTAAGATCAGAAGCTTTTTACCTTCTTGCAACGTTTACCTAACAGCATAGCGAAACGTTACAATGGCAATATAGCCGTTCGCTTTAATTGTTATTCTCTTAAACTTTTATTGGCATATTTTTAACGTCATTTTTCCCTTAGACGATATGGTGCTGAAATCTCTAAATTTTATTAGCTTCTAAACATTAATAAATAATTTACATTATAGTGCAAAAATTTATAGATCTTTCTTCTTCCAATTTTTGCCCCTAAAAATTTCGCAAACTTTCAATTTTCATTCGGCTACACTTTTCTTTGAAACTTTTTGCTTTATTAATCTTCTATTAAAACAAATAACAAAAAATACCTAAAATAACATAAAACAAGTAAAAACGTTTCAGTCGGTATAAACCGATTGAATTATACCCTGCACCTTTCATTGTTGCATAGCAATTACTCGAACCTGTGAAACCATTCTATAGAAACTTCACGGATATGTCTTCAATCTATCATTGGATACACAACTGCCAAATTTCATGAATCTGACATCATTATTTTTCCGAATATAAAAAATTTGCATTTGGAGTTCCATGTCATTAAAATTTTTAGAGCATATGTAGAATATAATTGGACACACCTTTACAAATTTTCATATATATATATCTTTATTAATTTTTCAAATATTTAAAATAAACTCAGCTGTTGTATGACAACTTGTGAAACTTATGTGTCGATTGTATTATTCGTTTTTGAGTTATCGAACGGGCGGACGAACATATCTAAATCATCGCAGAATTGTACGCTGAGCAAGATACATATGCTGATACATACATATGGCCCGTATAAAAACCCCGTATAAAAAAGTAATTATATTTTTTAAGTAGCCTATAATTAGCCGTAAATCCGTGATTTTTTTTAATCTTCTTTTAACATTTGTTCTCATCCGAAAAATATGCAATTATTATAATATAGTTTGAAATATTAATATGAATAATTTTATTGAAACGCTTAAAATTAAAGTGATGCAACCTACAAATTACTGATTTCGTGGTTCTTTTATATAAAACTATTTTAAAATATTAAAATTGATGAAGGTGATACAAAAAAGTACTATAAATACAAGTTTTACATTGTGGTTTTAAAATGTATTTAGCCCGAAATTTTATGTTTGAGATTGAGCCACTATTCTTCAGTTAAAAACTTCAATTAAAATAAATTTTTTTTATAAATTTGTTGAAGATGTGCTACTTTGCAAATCACTACATTACATTAATTCGAATTTATTTATTCTATTATCCTTATTTTATATATATATATATAAAGGTCTCTAATTTAATACTGGTTATGATAATAATAAATAATTATGTAAATATGTTTTCTGGCGTCATATAGTGATAAATACTTTAAAACGACGAGAACTTCCTTTGAAGGTGTTATTTTATATTATCCTATTGAAAATTTATACCTCTGGAAATATAGAAGCTACCAACTTTTCAATTTTTTTATACATACTTAATACACTTATCTCTGTATGACTTTTTTTATACATACTTTATACACTTAACTTATACATGATTTGATTTGAGTAATTTTACATTGAAAATTTTAAATTTACAAAGATTTACCATAAATATTTTAAGCTGAAAAGTACACTGTTTTCTCATTTAATTAATTTTTTTATTAGTAAATATTAGAAAATTTCCGCAACGAACTAATATCGACATAGATTTTAAGAGTAAATTGGATGAAAGTGCAATTTCCAGCGTGATTTAAAAATAATATATGCCATGTAATCATGGATTTATAAATACATATATAACCCGAGTTCTCCTTTCAGCTTTTTGATAGAATTTTCAAATAAATTTAAACAATTTACAATTTAAAAATTTAAACAAACCCATTTTGATAATATCAAATCTACTATAGAGTATTTGGTATAGAATATTTTTATATTATAAGCAAAGGCTGTCGTAGAAATTTTTTTATTTATGTAAATTTTAAAATAATAATACAATAGAACAAAATGCTCAATATAAATCTCAATATAAGGTGCAACAAAACTTCTCCAAAAAAAATATTTCCAAATATTTATTTGATAATGTACCCGTATATGTTAATTGTAAATAAGAAAATTGTCATTTACCTTGATAATATTTTGATCATTCGAATATTATAACTTTTCTGCATTTCGCCTCAAAATTTTATTAAACAAATTGAATTTTCTATCACATACATATCTAAAACCTACACAATGTTCCTTCAATATGTTTACACTAAATATTTTTTAAAAAATTCAAAACTTTACAAATTATACATTATATCGCACATAAATTAAATTAATAAAATTATAACTGTAGAATATCTAATTATTTTTAAATATATGCTTTTAAAAATTTTTCTATATATTCTGAGAAATAATTGGAAAATACATTATTCAGGAAATATAAAGCCTAAAAATTTGATAGTCTTTATTTATTTACCTACACATATATGTATGTATATCTTATACACAGAATTTCTATATATATACACACACATATATATGTATATATATATATATAATAACTATGTGGAGCATAGCTGACAAAAAATCCAAAAATTAATTTGTCAAAGCTGAATTTAATATCAAATTCATTGGACCAATTTAAAATATATTATTATTATTCTGTCATTAAGTATATCACGCAGTTTATGCGGAAAAAATAACTTATTTCGTTACTCTTGATAACTATATGGTCAGTAATATATTAGGTTCAAGTATATTCTAGAAGAAAATCAAAAAAGCAGAAAATAAAGCTTATATAATAGCGGATTTATTGTATTTGATTGATAAATTTCAAATTATTCAATTTTGAAATGAACACAAAAATGAAAAGTTATTATACTAAATTGAGGTTATTTATAATTTCAATTGTTTAAAAGCTAAATGTGTAATCGTGTATCTTATATAAAGGTAAAGTATGGATAATGCACTGGTTTTTATGTGGAACCCTCATAAATGAATTATTTTACATTACAGTGGAAATATACTTTACTTCAAGTACATTAACAAAAATATTACAAATTTATATAATTTGAGACGTCAATTAGCTATTTGATATCTTCTGCTGTCACTAGTACAATCTCATACACTTTTTAAGTATAACACTTTGTAAACGTACGAGTATATTTTCATTATTGCATGCAAACGTGGTTTTTTACATATTTTACTTAAAATAATAAATTTCATTTTTTACAAAAACAAGCACAAAAATATTAGTGATATTAAGTATAGTATTGTCAAATGATTGCCTCTGACGATATTAAACCATCATCTGCATTATATTAAAATAAAAAAGTTTTACCCGCTGCACTCTCTATTTGCTCTTTGTAAAATTAAACTTTTGGAGTTTATTCACTATTGGATAAAGACGATATTTTGTTACATTTTTTATCTTTAACATTATAAATGGTGTAACAACTTCAGCATATGAACTATGATCTAAAGTCAAAGTTCAGGAATAAAACACATACAAATCAACACATACTTTATAAGTTAAAATTTAGATGATATTGCGAAAGTTTTTATATTAAATTGTATATTTGATTAAATCGGAAAATTTGTAGTGTTGACGATAAAATTATAGTAGTAAAAAGAAGAAAACAAATAGGTACACAAAATTATGTCCAGTAAGCGGAAATTCTAACTTGTTGGTATTTCTAATGGTAATTATTTATTTTTATTTGTTATTATTTATTTTAATATTTAGTTTTTTTTTTAAATGAACTTTAATAATAATGAAAAAAAGCTAATTTTTATTAACATTTATGAAAAGATATAATCATTAATTGAGAAGAAAAAAAATGCAAAAAAAAAATGTAAAATCAGTTCACGTCTAATGAATTTAAAATGGGATGCAATATTTTCTAAATACAAAAATGTTATGATCTCAAATTTAGTTCTAATTTAACTTTGCTCTAGTTAAAAACAAATCAAAATAAACGCAAATTTTTATCCTTTTATGATTTTTTTTTCGACGGTCTTTATTTTTACAAAAAACTAACAAATTACGGTTAATTTTACGATTCTTTAAACGGTTAGCAATACAAAAAAGTGAAATTTAAAAAAAAAAAGTGAAAAGTTTGAAAAAAAATTTTTTTTTTGGTTATTTTTTGTTCTTTATTAAAATTTCAATTTTCCCTATAAATTTTAAATGATCATTTTAATATAAAGCAAAAAAAATATCTGAAAATGAAAATGTTAAAATTAATTGTGAATTTGTTGAAGAATATATTTGGATTATTAATTTTATGGGAATATAGTCCAGGATATTGTGAACAAGGAACGTTCGGTAATAAATTTAATATATGATCCGTAAATTTATTAATTATTATGGCATGTTTGAATTATATTTTTAAATCTTATATATTGTATATTACCTTATGATCTTACTATATTAGAAAAAAAAAGTTTTATTTTACTAGAAAAAAAACTTACTGCAAAAATTTTTAAAAATGCAAACGATTTTGTAATTTTGAATTTATTTCCATAAATTAGTTGAGAATGCACGTAATTAATGTATACAATATTAGTAACACATAAATATACAATAAAGCACTAAAATATCAATAAACGCACTAGAATATTTCAATATTCCTTTGAATTCTTAAAAATATTATTGAGAACATTGGAATATTGAAATTGATTTTTCAAAACCCTTTGTGTTTGTTCTAAAATGATTTTCAATTAAAAAGTGATTTTCGATTAAGACAATAATTATGACATATATAAAACCCTAAATTAACATAAGTCAATAATAATTGCGTCCTTATTAATGGAACCTATAATCACCAAAATTTTTGTATTTAAAAACAATATGTTCGGTTAAATTTGAGACAAATACAAACCTTGTATTCCTATCCAAGTATTCCTCTGCAAGTTTTAATAAAACTTCAACTTAATTTAGCGTAACAATAATTAAAAATTAAAAATTAATGGTTGTAATAGAACACTCAAAATTAACATGAAGAAAGTTGTAGTTTTGATTAATGTGACTTGAAAATTATAAAATTTTTCTATTAATTTAATTTTTACTTAAATATAAAATTTAAACGTACTTAAAATGAGAAAATCTTGATATCTACATCCTTTTCGATATTTTATCCAATTACATACAAAATACGTGATGTGAATATTAACTTCTGCAATTATTTATGTGTACTATAAATAATAATATAAGGCAATTTTTAAAACTTACTCGAAATTTGATATTTTGATATTTAATTTAAAGTAATAATTTTAAATTAATAATTATAAATTTAATTACTTTAAGATCGTCTTTTAGTACCATCAAATAATCAACATCCAACAAAACCAAATCCATTTTTAAAAGTACGGCAATTTTATGATGGTGTTGGTGGTGGTATTGATTGTCCAGCAGCAAGTGAATGTGTTCCATTAATTGAATGTTCACCAATAATTTATGATATTGCAAAAAGTTGTTATTATAATGATAAATCATTATTCTGCAATCAAAATGAAGATGTACCACATGTATGTTGTCCAAGTAATCCATTAGAACGTAATCAAGTTTGTGGCCGAAGTTTAGTTCAAGGACAATTTTATAAAGGATTGGGAACATATCCATTTGTGGCAAGAGTTGGATTTAAAAGTACACCTTAGTTATTTACAAAAAATTCTAATTTTTAATCTTTTATATTTTACTTCTTATGTAGATGTTAATACGGGAAATTTTGCATATCCCTGTACAGGTTCAATAATATCAAAAAGAGTTGTTTTAACGGCAGCGCATTGTGCTTTAGCAAAAGCAGATGGACATCGATTGTATGTTATTATTTATTAGTTTAATTTCTCTCATAAAAATTATTGAAATTTATTTTAAATCTAATAAAACTCTATATTATTTTGTTATAATTCAATTCATTATAATTATTAAATATTCTTAAAGATCTAGCATACGAATCGGTGAATACGATACAACTACAGAACCTGATTGTGCTTCTAGTGGTTTTTGTGCACCACGTTCAGTAAATCATGCTATTAGTCATGTTATTGTACATCCAGATTATAAACATGGCCAATATCATCATGATATTGCTTTATTAATATTAAAAACACCTATGAACTATTCAGGTAAGTATATATTTATTTAGTAATACAATAGCACAAAGTAACTCATTCTACAAACTAGTAACAATAATAAAATTAATATAAGACGAAAACTAAAATATTATTAGATTAGAATTGAAAAGAAAATTGCAGTTCAATTACAAATAATTTAAATAGTATGTATATTCTTATAATTATAGTTTTAAAGTGGAATATACACTAAAGTATACAAATGTACATATATGTATGTATATAAACTTATAAAGTTACCCTACATTTCAGTAAAATTACTTTAATAAATATTTCCCATTGAAATTTATTAGATCGTATGAAACTGGTGCAAAATGCATAAAAAGGAATGCAAAACATAGGCAAATATAAAATGTTATAATTTATAAAGGTTTACTCATACGAAGGTGATAATTATTTCTCACTTTTATTGTTTATAACCATATTGACGTAACCAATTAAAAATATCAGTTGAAAATTATAATTGTGATGGGAGAAACGTTTTGAAAAACACCAGTTATACGAGTATATATAGAAAAAAATTAAAAAAGTCAAGTTATTTTTTTTTTCTTTAAATTAAGAGTAATAATTTGCACTGTATTAAAGTTTAATATGTACTAACATGTAATTTTTTAATTTAGGTCAAATTTTGTCACATAATTTAAAATTATTTCAATAATTTCAATCATTTTAGTTGCATCACAGCCAATTTGTCTTCAAAAATCGAAAATAAACTTAGTTGTTGGAAAACGTGTTACAATTGCTGGATGGGGTAAACTTTCATCATCAAATTATCGTTCAAATGAAATGGTATCATTAGAATTACCATTAGCAGCATGGGAATTATGTTTACGTGTTTATGGTTCAACTGGTGCATTGGAATCACCAAATTCCGTTGGTAAGTATAGTTAGTATCACCGTAGAGAAAAATAAAAATATTTTTAAAATATTAAGTACACATATATTAAAATATAAATGCTTTTACATATTATTGAAGATGGTCAATGGATGTGCGCTGGTGGTGAAGGCAAAGATGTTTGTCAAGGTTTTGGTGGTGCACCATTATTTATACAAGAAAATGGAATTTATTCACAAGTAAAATTTAAATTAATATTAATTTGTTTTTTTAATCGTTCTAAATTATTTCTTTTTATAATATTTATAACTTTTATTTAGATTGGTATAATGTCTTTTGGATCAGATAATTGCGGTGGTGCACGTATTCCAAGTGTTTATACATCAATTTCATATTATGCTGATTGGATACAAGATAATACACCCACAGAATAAATTTTTTGTGTAAAAAATTGGTTTAGTGTTAACATTATCCTATTAATTTGGATAAATTAGTAAGACAAAAGAATATTTAAAATTATTATTTAATTTAATTAATGTGATATACTTAGAATGAAAATTATTGATAGTTCAAAAATATTTTGTCAACCTTAATTTTTTGGGATATACCTACATAAAAGTGAAACTCCACATAATATATAAAATTAATTTAAAAATGTTTTAAAGAATTATGTTAAAATAAAAATATTTTTATTTAGTTTTAAGTTTAACTGAGTTTCTGTTTCTATTTATTAAAAGCGAATAGTATAACAATGAATTTATTTACACGCTAATTTTTAGTTAAAATTAAATTAAACACTAACATAGTTGTTGGAATTTTAAACTTAAAATAAATAATAATAAAATATTATTCATAATTGTTTTTTTTTATAAAAAACTTAAAAATCACCCACATTCTAAAAAGAAAAATAAAGGATTATTTTGAGTATAATTTTAATTTTAATTTTATGTAAATAATATTCTTACTATCAGATTTTTCCCATCCAATATGGACTTTATTCTTTTCATTTTCAGCTTTAAGCCAATTCATTAATGGCTCAAAGTATTCACGAAGGGCAGCACCAGACATTTTTCTCTCTCCAGTAAAAACTTCCATTGCATCAGGCCATGGCTTTGACGCTCCCAAAGATAACATTTCCCTGAAAGCAAATGATAATACAATATTAAAATACAATTTATATTTATTGTTACTGAAATACAATTTAATATTATTATTCAGGAATTAATTAAAATAAATAAGGAAAAGGCAGTTCAAAATCTTACTTAAAAGCATTTCCAGCCTCAGGACTTCCATAAAAATCACAGTTATCTAGTGGTAATTCTGGGTTACCAGGTTCATATTGACCAGACTTAACACAAGCAGCCTTATAAAATTGAAATTGTATTATGAATGAAACAAAATACCTGCAACACACAATAAAACATTATGAAAATCTTTCTAACAAGTATTGCAAATTAATATTCAAAATAAAAATTAATTTAAATTTCAAACCTTAAATATTCAACATCAGCTGATATATGATATTTAGCTGGTGCGTCAAAATCATCTTCAGTTCTTTTGACTGGTGGTTCAAGACCAGAATATTGGTCACGTAATTTCCAAAAACCACAATTCCATTCTTCTGGTTTTAATTCACCACGTAATATTTGCCAACGGTATTTATCCATTGTGTATGCGAATGGTAGAAAAGCAACTTTGTCTAACGCAGTTAAAAACAATTGATTGATACGTGCTTCTTCATCTGGTTTATAATCTTTTAGTAAACCAATTTTTTCTAAATGTTTTGGTGTACTGACAGATAATGCTAAAACATCACCAACAGCTTCATGAAAACCGGGATTTGCACCGCTTCTATAAACATGTGGTAAATGTTGATATTGTAAGAAATATTGAATATGACCTAATTCATGATGTACAACAGATAATTGTTCTTGTGTTACTTCTGTACATTGTTTAATGCGAACATCATCTTGAGAGTAGAAATCCCATGCACTAGCATGACATACTAATTCCCTACCATCTTTTGGTTTTTCTAATATACTATTCTCCCAAAATGATTTTGGTAATTTTGTCATATTTATTGATTGAAAGAATTCATCACCCATTTGAAACATTTTCAATGGTGTTATTCCTTGTGCTTTCATTTCAGCATTAACATTTACCATTGGTTTATTTGGGAATGGTGCTACTAAATTTGCAATTTCACCCCAGGTTTGACCCCATATATTTCCCAAAAGATGTATCGGAATTGGTCCTTTCTCTGATACATGTAAATCACCGTATTTTTGTCGTAAACGCCAACGTACATAACCATGAAGTTGTTCATAAAATGGTTTCAAATCTGTTAAAACATCTTCAACTTGCTTTTCAAATGTCTCATCTTCATATTCGTCTAACCATTCTTCAGCACCAGATGTATAATCTACAATCAAAGAAAAAAATTTAAGAAAATAAGAAAATTTAATAAAAATATAATACAGGATTTTATTGAAATGTAAGAAATTAATTTTTATTGAAATGTAAAACTTACTACTTAATTTGGCAGCTTTCGTTTTCAATTCAATATATTTTTCAAAATTTTTACGTACAGGCTTTCCAGCAGCATCATACCATTGTGTCCATGTATATTTTAATTCTTCTGGATCACGACTTCTAACTATAATAGTTTGAATATGTGGCTCTAATGATAAATCACATTTCGTTCGATTTAAATGAGCGCAAATTTTTACTTTAGCATAATTTGTTTCCATTTTTGATAAATTTTCTAATAGATCTTTAAAATCATCATCATCTAAAATAGCATAACCCAATTTTGTTGATAATTTATATTGGCGTTTTAAATCTTCATTTTTAAATTCTCTCCAATTAAATTTTTGTAATTTTTTAACAAGTTCACGGGTTTGTTTAGCAGTTTCTGCTTGAACTTCATTTTTATGTTTTTCATTTTCATCAGTTATATTTGATGCAAAAGCCCATTCTGCTACATAATTTCGATTACTAAGGCTATTCATTTCTTCATTTAAATCATTAATAAGTTGTAAAGCTTCTTTTTCTTCATCATTAAGAGATGATTCTGCTGGAGCACCGTTCGTTAGCTATATATTGAAGTAAAGTGAATGTATGTGTAAAAATTATAACTGTATATGTATATATTATTTGTCATTTGTGCTTTTAATGCAAATTTTAATTTTATTGAAAGTGTTACCTGCATTATGCAAATGCACACAAAGCATAAACTTAACTTCATCTTGCTGGATTAAATCTCAGTACCTTTATGATAAAAATAAGAAATTTAGTTACTCTTTGTTATTTTAAATAAAATTGATTGTTATTATATATTTTTGAAATTTAATTAAATTCATTACAATCTATTATAAACTCTATGAATAAAAATATATTAAATTTGACGGTGGGAAAACTTTAATTGTATTTAAATCTATTGTCAAAAATTTATAATTATCTTGTAATAATGATTATTAGAACATTATTAAAATTTAAAACCTTAAAAATTAATAAAAAAAATTAACATGTATTTAGAAAATCAAAAAAAAAAAACCTTGTTATTTTATAATCGTTATTAAAATTGAAATGAGAGTTATTAACCGCAAATTTTTTATTAATTTTTTTTATGCCTTGCAAAACTTTTACGTGCTTTACGTTAATAATTTTTTTTTCTTATTTTTTTTTTTGTTTTTGATTTACCATAAATTTAAAGTTGATAATTTATTACAAATACATTATGTCGATTGTCGACATATACTGCAATTTTTAAATAAGTTTTAATTTAATAATTAATTGAATTATTCTTCATGTAGGTTCATATGTACATTATGTAAGTAGTAGGAAATTATGTATAAATTTTAATACACGTAAATCGCAAATTAGAAAAGTTAAATAAAAAATGTTATCATTTCGAAACGGTTGAGCTTACAGTTCATAAACTATTTGACCTTACGGTAATAATTAAAATTCTATAAATCTTATGCTATATCATAACTGTACATTTTTGTGCCGGTTTAAAAATAAATGATATTCGATTTCAATGAGTTTCAATTTCTTGCTTTGTTAGATTAAAATCCATGTAAAAATATTTATTTCATTCAATCTGAATAAATGTTAATTTTTTATAATACATTAAAAATTCCACCAAAAAATTCTTATAATACAGATATTTTTTTTTTTGGGAAATGAATTGGGTATAGGGAAAAAAACCTCGCAATTCAAATATTTTTCTATGTAAATTTAAATATGAATATCAAATTTATTAAATTGGGGCTAAAAATAATAGATAAAATAAAAATTATTTTAAATCTCTATTTTCCTTACCATCAAAAAAAGGAATTTACTGTATCTGCAAAAAAAAAAAAATTCGTAAAGGCTTCTATTCGTATGACGTAACCGAAAAATTAAATACAAACGTTAAACGTAATATTGAATAAATATTTATTTTTAAGTTAGAAAAAATTAAGTATCGTTGGTGTACACTGTACACAAACAGTATGTTGAAAATGAATAACTTTGTAAGCATATGGTCTTATTGTTTTTGAGTCAAAATACAAATAATATGTATGTACATAATTATGTACAGAATAAGTACAAGATTATAGTATCTACATAGTTATGTACAGAATACGAACAATATTTGCGTTATGAATTTGTTTAATATTTCTATGAAACATTTAATTATTTACAATAAATTATTGATAATTTTACTGAATTTGTGTTCAAATATAAAATGTCTGTTTTGTATACCAATTGAATAGAGTTCTCAAATGAATACCTACAATTATACCAATACTTGAGAAAACTCCCGCTTATTAATCATAACTGTTAAAATGAGTACAGTAATTTCAACAAAATTCTTCATTTAGAAACATTTCCGCCAAACATTTCTCTATATTTTTTACAGTAGCATAATTCTATTAGAAATTGATAAAATTACTAATTAAATGCTACATATTATTAAAAGTTTCTTATTATAAGTTTTAAATTAAAAAAAAACATTAAATTCAATTAAATTTTAAACCTTAAATAAATAAAATATACTTACATATATATTAAATTAAATTAACAAATTCATTACATTTATTTACATACCAATTTCAAAAAAAAATATTTTCGCCTATTTTATTGTATCCCTTTTTATTATACTTTCATTTCAAGTTTCTAAAAAAAAATATTTTGCTTTTTTATTTAAAAAAAAAAAAAGAATATAAAAATTGATTTATTTCTTAAATTTTTTTATATTATTTCTTTTATATTTTCTCTTTTTCACTACTTTTTTCAATTAAAATTATGGACTTAAAACGACAAATATTAAAGACAAAACTCCACACAAAACTAAACAAATTTTGAAGATCAACTGAGCTTTTATTTGATCAGGTCGGGGTCGCTCTCATACACCACACAAAAAAAAATTTATGCTCAGTTTTATATACATGCAACGTATATGTACCATTATAATCTTCTCATTTCTACATTTCAACATTCAATATAAAATTGAGAGATTTTTCATACATATATTTGTATATATTAATGTGCAAACAATTTAAAAAAGATTGCTGAAATTTACTTTTAGTTTAGAATATTTTAAACGGTTTATACTCGTATATACAGAAAAAAAATACTTGTTCATACGTTCATATTACGTTACTGTGCAGACGGGATAAGAGTACACCTCGACTAGTAGTGCCCCCCCGCTTCCAGTACGTGTGGGTTACAACGCTATAACGCCCTCACAAAATCCACCCCGCTGATGAATTCGAGCAATCTGAAGAACGAAGCAGATCGTAGGTCGTTTTTACAAATATATAGAATTTAGTATATCGTCGAAAAAATTTTATCGAACTCGATTATAAATATTTTTTTATAATATCAGATGAAATAAAATATGCTTTAAACTTTCAATTAACTTTATTAAACAAAATTATTCATATTAACATATTATAAATTAATTCATTATGTATTAATGCTGCAAACAAGGAATATATGTAAGTACATTACTGTTTTTAATAATTTTAAACAAATAATATATCTTGAATTAATATTTTTTTCAATTTATTTTAAAACAAATTTTAATTTATAACATTATAATCATGAAATAATAAAAGTTCGTGATTAGAAAGTTCAATATGAAGTATTTTTCTTAATACTTATATCTAAATAAACAACCTTCTATGTAACAAAAATTAAATTCATATAATATGTATCTCAGAGTAGACTAGAAGATTTCCAGTTTTCCTTGTTTCTATTCATTTTCGTTTAGTATATTGTTTACTTGTGAGTTTAAATTTAAGCTCAGCTCAATGACACAAATTTTAATTTCAAATGAGTGAGAATAGAAAATTTTGACACGAGCCAAATCAAGAATATAATCTTAGAATAGTTTAAAAAGAAGAATTGTTTTCTTATCATGAAAAGTATATAATTAAAAAAATCTTCAAAAAAAAAAATTGTACTTCATAAAAAGAAAATATTTATTATTAAAAATTGTTTGTCATAGATTTATTATTAGATTATTTAAAACAAAAATTCATCTATTTACTTCACCTGAAAACCTAATAAAACTTCACATATCCTTTACAGTTTTTATCCTATACCATTTTTAAAAAACGAAACCATTAAAAATTGGAGTTATACCAAAACATTTCTAATAAATTAATCTTACTTTTATCTTTTTATTTTTGGCAATTAAAATCACCCACATTTCTATTTTACGTATTTAATGTATACATCATAAAATAAAAAGTAAATTTCTTTTATTTATGAAACTAAAATGAAATTGAGTTATGTACCTAATATAGACGAAATAAATTTTTACAGATCGTGATTTTAATTTCATTACCATTAATAATGTTGTATAGAATGCGATGACATACGACATTTCATACATTATATATGTATGTACCTATTTAAGATGAAAAGATATAGATATATAAAAATTATTTTGAATAGAATTGAAATCAAATAGAACTTTGATTGTATCTCCTATTCTTGATCTTGATACTATTCTTATATAGCTGTTTGATTTAACTATATTACATGTATGTATATACTTATTAAAATAGATTACATACGTACATATTATATTAAATGTACATGGATGTAAATGCTTTAGAATGTTTGAATGAATTTCTAAATTTTGTTGAGATTGTTTTGATAAATAAAGGCTTGGAAATAATAAAAATAAACAAAAAATAAAAGGTTGAAAACGGAATGACCGGCAAATTATGCCAATCGCGTATATAACTGAGGTACACAGTTCACATTTAAATTTAATCATGGAATAAATATGATATACGTATGTACATATAATATAAGTACATCATTATTCATTAGATATATCTATAAATTTATTTCATTTTATAATTTGAAGACTTGATCCTGGAATTCTGATAATGTACGATTCTTGTTGTATTAAAAACTTATAAAACAGATAAAAGTAATTTCATTTTTTTGTTTTCCTTCTTTACTTTTATTTATTCTTTTTTTCACCTTCTCTTCTTTTCTTCTTTTATTAGGATTATATTTTCATAATAAAATTATTGATTCCTGATTTTGTTCAATGAACTTGTACAATGAATATTGCAATATTTGTTTTATTCTATATCTTTTTTCGTGAAATTGGGTAAGTCAAACTTGTTATGCATAGGTATAAAAAAAATGAAAAAGTCAGATATATGAGATTGAACCATAGCGATTCCATTATTCTGTGGAATTTTTGCAATACATATACAACATTTAATTTAGGTAGGAATATACCATATTTTTTCATATTTACTGATATGATAAACTATAGTATACTCGTAATTTAAAATGGTTTTCTTTTGAAGTAATGAGAAATTTTCAAATATTCTTATAATAAGTTAATTCATACTGATTTAGAATATTACTACGCATTTATAAAAAATTCCAATATTAAAAACTAAATTTTTTTATCTTTAAATTCAATAATACGTAACAACTAACATCTGTAAAATATTAGCTGCATCTACTACTCACTCAATCTACCACTTACATGTAACCTGTTAGAAATTTTTTTATATGCACATATTATGTGCATGTTAAATAGTTCATAATTTTTTTGAACACATTTTTTCCAATTAGCACTTCAAATTAACTATATATATATATATATATATATATATATATATATATATATACATTTTTCTGCTTCTATAAAAATTTAATTTATTTTATATTTATATTTTATGTAAAAGTATAAAAAATTAAATTGTTTCACATAAATATCTATTCAAATAATATTTAAACCAATATTTATCATTTTATCAAATATTTTTTTTATAAAATAAAACTTTTCAAAGTTCAAATGCATAGAAAAGAAAGGAATAATCCAAATAAGTTAATTTATATTCTAAAGTTAAGAGCTTGTTAATGTCAAATAAATAATAAATACTTCACAGCAAAACATTTAGCGGTCTCCTGCAGAATTTCATATATAACATGTGAAAAATTTGAAATTGTATCAATTCTAATTATAATTCAATTTTAAATTTAATCAATTACCAATTCTATAATTTTATAAAACAAGACAATCAAACAAAGTCCATGTTCTTTAAAATACTTCACTAAGTTTTCTTACATTTTTATATTAAAAAAAAAATAATATGTAGAACATATTTTGCAAATCCACAATTATACTATACATTTTCTAACCCAATCATATATATCTTACTTTATTCTGAAGTTTGCTACTAAACACGTATCTAAAAAAATTTATAGAAAAGGACACAATGTAGATATATGAAATTTAATTTTGAAATCGTCTATAATTTTTATTTTTTTACAGACAAACTACTAAAAGCAAAAAAGGAAAACTTGGTCAAATGATGACAGGCCACCAACAACATGATAACAAAATTAATTATACCCTTGAGTTTTGGTTATCAAACTAAATTATACTGTATATTAAAATATTCTATTTAAATTCAAATCCTATCTTCTTGTCATCTACTATTTCAAATAAAGTGGCAAAAAAAAATACTGTTTTCCAAATTTTAACAATAGCTTTAAGAAGTTTTGAAATTTCCATTTTACACACAATTTTGTTTTATTGTGTGAAATATTTAAAAAAATGTTTTACCAATTTTTCACAAAATTGGTTTTTTTGTTCTTACACTTTCCCTTCAATATTTTTCCTTAATGGTTGATAACGACCACGAAAAATTAACTTGATTGATAAATTTTAATCTTCGAAATCTTGTTCTTCTTCTCGTATTAATTTTTCTAACATTTCGTATAATTCTTTAAGAGTTGGTAATTTTACAACAACCTCAGAACAATAAGTTTTATTATCTTTAATTTTTTTTTGATATTCTTTTGGATGCCTCTTTTTTTCATGTTCCTTACAACTTGATAATTGAACAAAAGTGGAACTGCAAAATCTACACCAAAATGGTTTAAGTTTTGTGTGGGTTATCATATGTAATTTGAGTGTTTCACGAAGTCTAAAGTCTTTTTCACAGTAATTACATTTATAGGCTTTAGTTTCAGAATGAATTAGCATATGTCGCTTGAGATTATATTTGGATTTCAATAAATCTCCACAAATAGTGCATAATAAATTTGCTTCTCGATGATTTTTTAAATGTTTCTAAAATATAAAAGACAAAGATCAATAAAAAAAATAAGCATAAACAATATACTTCAGACAAAATAAAAATTTACCATCATTCTAAAAGGTGTAAATTTTTTTTGACAAATTGGGCATGGTTTTTCATCGTTTTCATCATGACTGTATCTTTGATGTCCGTACAAATTGTTACGAGAAGCGAATTCTTTATTGCAAAATTTACATACGAATGATTTTTCTACTGAATGTTTACTCTGTATATGAAACAGCATTGAATCTACTTTTGGATATGTCATATCACAATGCGGGCATTGGAAGGATGAATGTTTTTCTTCAACAGGTAAATGCAATTTTCTATGTTCTTCCAAAGATACGTTACTTGAAAATATTTTACCACAAATTTGACATTCATATTTCTTCTTTACTTTTGGATTATCTTGAAAATTATTTGACATTTTCCGACCATCAGGAATAAACTCATTTTCAGAGAAATGAAATTTCTGATGCTCATTCAATTTTTTACCATTTAGAAATTTTTTCCCACATAATTCACATATTTCATATTTCTTTTTAAAAGAACGAGAGCACTTACGTGTTTTGTTTAAATGGTTTGGTTTTTTATTTTCCGTATTTAAATCTTCAGGTACAAAATTAACTGATGCGTTTTCTGATTTATTATCACATATTTGAGCATCGTTCGTGTTATCTTCATTAACAATCTCATTGAATAACTTTATCATAATAGATTCACTTATATCCTCATCTATTTCAGACTGGTCCTTATTGGTTTTTTCGTGTGTATATTCACATAAATTTTCTTTTTCAATTATTTGGGAAACATTTTTGACTTGGTTATAAAAATTGGTAATTAATTCTATAAATGAAAAACAATCAATACACACTTTAAAAATGATGAAATTTTCAGCCTGTGAAATAAGTATTATGTAGAGTAATTTCGTATTGTACACATAATGAAAGGTGTTACCGAAAGAGAAAATAATTTTTCAATAACATCTAAAATATTTTTATCTAACGGTGTATCATGAGCCTTAAAACATTTGGCACCACAAAATCGGCATAAATTTTCCCAAATCTTATGATTTTCCTGCATTTCTGTAATAGAATACACTGTTTCTTCAGATTTGCGGGATAACATTATTTAGGACTTCTACAATAAGCTACACATACATAGTTGAAAATTAAAATTTCTTCTTTAATCTTTGAATGTTTCGTATGCATGAAAATTAAAAGAGCTATAGCTTAACCAATTTTTGGATAATCTTTTGAATTAAAAATTACTGAGGCTTTAATTTTATAGATTTAAAGAAATCTTAAATTAATTAAGAAGATAATCTTTTCTTATTTGAAATCGCGGCTAACCTGACATAAAAATAATTTAGTAATGTCAAAGTAAAATGACACTTTTAAATAAGAGATGGAGCATTATTAAGTAGAATAGCATCAATTTAGCTGTGTACAAATGTGACTTGACGACAATCAAAAACGAAATTTTGTAAGAACGAGAAACCTGAGTCTTTCCACAGCTGACAGAAAAATATATATTAAAAAACAAATACTTGGGTCTTTATCACTGCTGACAGAAAAATAATATCAAAAAAGAGAAACTTGGGTCTTTACTCTTTTCTATTAAAAAATATGAATTACTCGACATATAAGGTCTGTCCGGTATAAGAAAGTTTTTAAAACTTTCAAAAACTTTATAAAGTTTTTGCAGGCAAAGCCTCTGCGTTAATACTTTTTGAACAAAAATGAGAGAAAAGTATGACGTTTTCATTTTCTCAATATTCAAAGGTTTTTAAAGTTTTATGTAAAAAATTAAGTGTTTTGAAAACTTTTTAAATCTTACAGCTGTCGAAACAGATATTTTTCTTGGTTATGTTTGAAAGTTTTATTTAAAAAAAAAAAAATTTTCATCAACAATCATTTTTTTTTTCAAAACTTTTAAATTTAAAATAAAATAAAATAAACAAAATGGATTTACAAATGGTTTTTTCTAAGTTTCACATTTTTATAATCCGAAATCAAATTTTTGGTATAACAAAAAATAATTTGTTCATATTATAACTTTAAAATTTTGACGTTAATCATATATTTATAAAATTTTTAAAGGCTTTTACAAGTTTTCCGTCTGGTTTATTTTTTTTTTAAATGAGAAATTTTTTTTCTTTTTGCGAGAAATGACTGTTTCTTGTTTTTAAAGTTTTTTGAAGTTTTATCCCAGATAGAACCTAAATAAATATGTATGTCACGTGGTTTGAAAGAAATTTAAATTTTCCGTATTTTGTTTTAACGTTGAATTTGAATATTTTAAAGTTGAGGAATAATGCAGGTCTAGACCAGAGGCTCTCAAACATTTCTCTCTCGTAGATCCTTTGTCAGGTTTTCCAGTTTTAGCTAAACCCTCTGCTATTTTATTTAAAAGATTTAAATTTCTAACAGTAACGTAGTTAAGGTACTTATAATGCTAAAAATTTTTTTAGATTAACATTACATTTAAAAGTGAACAAAACTAAACAAAAAATAAATTCATTTAATGGGAGGAATGAACTTGATGGTTTGATATCAAAATTCGACATTTAATAAGATTTAATCTCAAATCTCCTCGGTTAATGACGTCCAGCTACTTTTTCTTGGTTTGAGATTTCCCTCTTTTTCTTGGTTTGAAATTTATTACTTTATCAATTATACAGATTTTGGAATTTTCGAAATTTTTTGGCATTTTCCCTTATTTTCAATTCATAAGCTCTCACTTTTTCTTTTTCGTCCACTTAGACCACTTGCAGACTTTCATCGACTCCTGGGAGGACTTGGGATATAGACCATCTTGGGAATAACTGTCCTAGACTATTAAAGAATCTTCAAAAAGATTTTAAAAAAACTTTATGAAAAAAAATTTCACATTTGAGAGATTTTGTGCAAATCAACCTCTGTCCTTTAAAAGTTCACTTTTTTTCAACTGCCAATAATCTCGAAGCAATAATTTTTAGGGTATTTGTAAAGAAGTTTTAAGGTACAATCGCATTAAGTGTTTAGGTACCAACCTAAAAATTTTTTATTCAAATTTAAACAGTTTTTTTTCTTATTTTAATTTGTCATTGTATGGTTTTACTTCTTTCTTTTCTTCTCTGCGTTTTCTTTTGTAAAAAACAATAATAAAAGAGTATCATAAATTCTTGGCACAGATTTAAGATTATCAAAAATTACTAGAAACCTGTACTAGATTACATTAACATTAAATCTAATTTGTCATATTTATTTCTGAATTTTCTCGTTTTCTTTCTTTTTGTCATAGAAATACATAGGTACAAATGTTGATAGTTCATTTACACTCTGTAAAATAAACATGAGCAATTAAGTATACATAATATAATCATAATATATGTGCATATGTATATGTATAAAAAAAATAATAACTTACTATCAGTGATTTCCCATCCAATTGGGATATTCATTTTTGCATTTTCGGTTTCAAGCCATTTTTGAAGTGGCTCAAAATATTCGAGTATAGCAGAGGCTGTCATACTTCGCTCACCTGACATTATTTCAAGAGCATCTTTCCAATGTTTTGAAGCACCAAGTTCTAACATGGACCTGAAAGATAATACATTTTTTGATCATTACATAAAAATATTCTTATTGAAATAAAGAATGTACTTAAAAGCATTTCCAGCTTCTTTACTGCCATATATATCACAATTATCTAATGTTAATTCAGAATCTCCTTTAACATATTGACCAGATTTTTCACACAGAGTTTTGTGGAATTGAAATTGAAAAATATGAGCTGCAAAATATCTGAAAAAATTTTCTTTAGATTTCGAAAAACGTATAATTACATACATTTATGTTTATTCAGACCTTAAATATTCAACGTCAGCGTCAAGGTGATATTTTGCTGTTGGATCAAAATCATTCTCAGATCTTTCAACTGGTGGTTCAATACCACCAAACTTCGAACGCATTTTCCAAAATTCACAGTTTAATTCATTTTCATGCACCTCGTTTCTAAAAACGGCATAACGATATTTGTCCAAAGTATAAGCGAAAGGCAGAAACACGACTTTCTTCAATGCCTATTAATAAATTGATACCAAATATTACCGTTACAAATTACCTCATAATCTTACCGTTACAAATAACTCATTGATTCGACTTTCTTCATCGTATTTAAAATTTTTGAGAAGACCAATTTTTGTTAAATGTTTTGGAGTTGACACGGACAGAGCAATAACATCTCCTACGGCTTCATGAAAACCTGGATTGGGTGCTCCTCTAAATGGCTCAGGCTGGTATTGATATTGTAAATAATACTGAATATGTCCTAATTCATGATGTGCAATATATAAATGTTCCATATTAACTTTCGTACATTGTTTTATACGAACGTCATCAATTTTAAAGAAATCCCAAGCACTTGCGTGACAGATAATGTTTCTACCATCTGATGGCTTCTCCAGGACACTTTTCTCCCAAAAGCCACTATAAAAGCAGTCGAACTAAATTTTGAATTTATTCTAACTATATTTATGTGCTTATCCAATTTTTACAAAAAGAGACAAACTATTATATAATAAAAGATGCATTTTTTCATCCCCTTTTGTGAATTGGTTATTACTTACTCTGGCAATTTTTTCATATTGATCGACTGGAAAAAATCATCTCCCATTTCAAAAATTTTGACAGGCGTATAACCCTGCTCTATTAACTCATCAGTAACATCAAAAAATGGTTTGTCAGGATACGGGGTTAACAGATCAATAATTGGATGCCAAGTTTGTCCCCATAAATTACCTAATATATGTATAGGCAAATTTCCTTTGTCAGAAACTATTTCTGCTCCATAATATTTTCGAAGTCTATAACGTACATAGGCGTGAATTTGTTTATAAAGGGGTAAAATTGAATTGTAAGCTTCTTCTAAATTTTTTTCAAAATCTTCATCTTCATATTCGTCAATCCAATCTTCTGCCATAGATGTAAAATCTATTCATGATACAAAAACAAATAAAACATATGCAACATTATATGCTATATGGTTCTATACTTACTATTCAGTTTCGCAGCCTTTCTACTAATTTCAATATATTTGAGAAAATCATTTTTAACTGGTGTACCTGCCTTATCATAAAAGGTTTTCCAATAATATTTCAATTCCTCAGGGTCTCTACTTTTTCGAACTTTGTATTCAATATCTGGTTCGAGAGACAACCCGCAATTATCAGGATTATTATATTCGCATACCTTAACTTTAGCATAATTAGTTTGCATTCTACTTATGGCACTTAAGAGCTGGTTATATTCATTTTCTGGCAACGCATTATATCCTAATTTTGATAAACGTTTAATTTGTCGACTTGTCCATTCACCTTTGGCTTCATTGAATTTTTGTAGTAAAATATCCTCTGCGATATCTTTAAAAAATTGAGCGTTTTTTGTTATTACATCGTTCATTTTTTTCTGATTCTCTTCCGTTACATTAATGTTATATTGATATTTGCATTCATACTCCTCATTCCGTTTTTCCAATAATTTGGGATTTAAATCTATCAAATATTTTTTGGCTTGTTCTTCCAGAGAAGTGCATGAACTATTATCGGATGCATTATGGCACGAAAATGATGACGAATTTCCAGAAATAAAACCAAAAATACCTAGTATTAATAAGCATATAAGAAATTTTTGATTTAAATTCATGTCAATTTTTCCAGTATCCGAATTCAATTAATGGCAGCACAGCACTACTTTTAAAGTCCAACTGAAATAAAAATGCAAATTTTTCTAAATAAATAAAAAATCTGTATGATACTAAAACAAAAATAAATTTGTTTCACTTTGATAATTTTCACAAAGGTTATCTAGCATCACCTTAATATATTTTATTTGCTTAAATTGCTTCCGAACTAGTAAATTCAAGTTTAATGACTATTTATATACGAAGAACAACAAACAATTATCTGAGTTAGACACTCAAAAAATTAATTTTTATTAATTTCAATCAATAAAATCAATTAAATGTGCATTTGTTTATTAAGATTGTATAAAAAAAACAAAAAGTAGAACAGAAAACAATAAATATTAAACGTCATATAAACCGGCAATAATATTATGTTAAGTTTTTTAGTTCTAAAAATATTTTTCTAAAAAAATAATAGTAAGTTTGCACATTAAACAAATTGACAGTTGTATACATCATCATGCGTAATCAAAATTTTGTTCTTATACGACAATTCGTAATTTAACGTAAAATGTAAAAAGTTAAAACGTTAAAAAGAATACTTTTTACGTTACAATGTAAAATATATTCACAGAAAGATGGTTATACAAAAAATATTTTGAAGTTAAATATTTGATTTAAAATTAATCAAAACCCTAAAACAAGAAATATTTAATATATTTTTGACAGCTCTCAATTGACCATCTCAATTGTTTATTAGTAGAAAAATTTTACATTCATATTTATACATTTTTTAAAAGCCCAAATCACACCTGATTCTTCCTGTAATAAAATGTAAATGTGTAATATTTTATTTTCTTCCGATATTTTTTTTTGTTTGTTCATTATTTTGAAGACATTAATAATTATAATGAAGAATATTGCTTCATTTTCCAGATAATGAAAAACAATAATTTATTACAAATATTGAAAAAACATACTCTCTTTTACGTGCGATAAAATTATTTTTTTTTAATATGAATGCATTCTCAGTTTTGCAAAAGATGAATAATGAAGCTTAGAGAGAAAAACTTGTTATTCGTTATATGATAAGTGTGCTACGACTGCGATTCCACTTCCATGAAGGAACCTAATAAAAACTTCCATATGTGCATAACTACTTATGTGACATATATCTACATCTGTAAGCAATTACATATCATTTTCGTTTTATTCCATTTGCTCATGAGTAGTTAAAGCTGAGCACAACTACATTATCTCGAACAAATGCGTGAATGAACTGTGTAGTTACGTTATTTTTTCCGGTAGATAGTTTTGGAATTGTTTATTTGTTTGTTTTGGCATTTAATTATAATGTTTGAAATTTCTTTTTTTTTTTTATTAAATTGACATTTAAAAAAAACAATTTTAGGAGGAAAAAGGGTTATTCCAAAAAGCTAAGGTTATGGTTTATTCATATATTAAAAGACTGGGGGTTTTCGTTCATTCAGTGCTAGAATAGTTCTACTTTGTAGTACCTTCGAAAATTTTCACTACATACACTGAAAATATAAATCGTTCGGAAATTACTGACTGCAAGAAAGTGCATTCGGAAATTCAATCTGAAATAAAGAAATGTTAGAAAAAAAAATTTTAATTTCAAAATAGCAGATTCAGATATTGAAAAGGTTATTAGACTAAGTTTTCTTTAAGTCTTCAAATCAATTTCCTTATTTTGCAATGAATTAAAAGGCGAAGGGTATTGGTATACAATTTCATAAACAATATATTTTCTGTTACTTTCGAACAACTGATTATTTAGAAGTTTCAGAATTTGTAGACTGCGCAAAAAAAACAAAAAAAACTTAGCTAAAGTTTTTGCATACTGTTTAACGATGCAATTTAGAAATTTTAGTTCTAATGTAGAACTTTCGTCGCAGCGTACATAAACGAAAACCCCCACTGTTTCATTTACAAACTACACATGTTAATTTATCAGTATTTGCTAATAGATGTCACTATACACTTTTTTGTTTGCGTGTCAATGTTTTATGGAATTTGACATATTGTGATGTCATTATTTTAGTACCAATTGACAATCGTAATATTTTTATTTTATTAATTTTAAACGAAATTTTTTTGTTTTCTTATTTTTAAGAGATCGATCATTTACCAAAAAAAAAAAAATTTACTTACTGTCCAAAAAATATAGCTGTTTCAAATATTCAAATAAATTGTAGTTTATAATTATTATTTCACATTCATTTCAATATCTACACCAAAGTTTTAACATAATTTTGACCAAAAACTAATAAAGGAGGGAAAATATGGCTTCAATTGTTTATCTAGAACATTACTTGGATGGTAAGTATTTTTTGTAGTTAACACTTAGCTCATATATTTATTCTTAAGTTGAATTCTTCCAAAAATTTTCATAAGAATAAAATTTAGAGCATTGTATTGTATATATGAAAAAGTAATATGAACATTACTAGTTCTTATAGAGTGAAGTGACTTTGTAAAAATAATGTAATTTGCTTCGAATTAAATCAACACATCTAGAAAATTGTAAAACAATTAGTTTTTTGAAAAAAAGAAAACAAATTGCCGAAACAAATAAATAAATAAAAATACTGTATACCTACTAGATCAGCTGTGAAATTCACAAAAGAAAAAAAATAAAAAGAAAAACGAAAAGGAACTGGATTGACTTCTATCTTCTGTAGGAGTATAGAAAGTTTTATAGATACATATAAAAAGTTAGTTTAATACCAACGAGCAAGCAAGCGATACTTTATAAAAATGCAATTCATTATTCAGTTCGTATACTAAATCTGGTTTTGATTAAAAATATTTCCTCTCTAATTTTTTCATTATTGAATTTGAAATTGTTGAAAATTTCCAAAAGAATGAATATGTGAAGTGAAAATTTTTCATATTTTTCAATATAAATTCTAATTGAAAGTACAATAATATTTGTGAAAATTTCTATTTCTACATATACATTTACAAATATATTTACATACATACATATTTATTATATATAGAGAAAAATGAGTATAAACTACACCGCCTTATATCAAGGTAAGTTGGTTTATTGGTTTGGAAAACAAAAAAAAAGTTTAAGGATTTGGAGTGGGTTAATTAAACTTTTCAGTATCTATTCTACACAAGAAAATAAAACGTACCTACATAAATTAATAAATTATAAAAAAAAACGCCTATCGTCAAAATAAATTCATTAATTTTCATCCATAAGACAGTGTAACTTCATAATTAAAATAACAAAAGAAAAATCTAAAAAAAAGTTCCATCTTGTAATCTTTAATTTTTGTTGTTTTTTTCTTTTTTTTTTTTGTTTAGGTCTGGAATCACTTCCCAATGAATTACAACGCAATTTTAAATTAATGCGTGATTTAGACGCAAGAGCACAAAATGAAATGAAAAAAATTGATGAAAAAGCCAAAGAATTTATGAAAGCCCAAATTCATAATAAAGAATCATTAACAGAGGAAGTACGTAAAGAAAAATTACGTGAAATACAAGAATTATTTAATAAAGCAAAAGAATATGGTGATGATAAAGTTCAATTAGCAATACAAACTTATGAATTAGTTGATAAGCATATTAGAAAATTAGATTCAGATTTAGCTAGATTTGAAGGTGAAATTCAAGATAAAGCGATGTCCACACGTAGTAAATCTGAAGAGACAATTGCAAAGAGTAATTACATATAAAATAAGTTCATCAAACGATTTTTTTTTTAAATTTTTATTCTTTTAGAAGGTCGTAAAAAAGTTAAAGATGTTAAAAGTATTGGTAAAAAAAGACGTACAGCTGGTGGTTCATCGGATGAAGAAGCAAATGCAATCAAAGAGAAACAAGATAAAAATTCAACTAAAAATAAAAAGCAGAAGGTAAATCAAGAAAAAGAAACAACTGGTCGTAAAGGTCAAAAGGTAAATTCCATTAAAATCATTTCATTCATACATGTTTATTTTTATTAATTAATTCGATTTTCAATTTCGATTTTAAAAAAAATGATTTATTTTATATAATATAGATTTTTATATTTTATTTTTTGGATTCTACAAATTTTCAAATATTTTTCGATTCCGTTTTTGTTTTTTAAATAATTTTAAAGTTGTTTTTAAACAAGAATACGAAATTTTTCGTATTAGTTATTTTGAAAGTATGATAATTTGAAATATAAAAAAAAAATTAAAAAGATGTACTTTAATATTTTTATTGTTATTCAGTTGAAAATACAGGTATTTATGTAATAACGCTTTTTTAATACAAAATATGAAAACAAAAATATGATAATTTTTGATGGTAATCAGAAAAGGCATGTAAAAATTTTCATCTTAATTTGCATTTGCATTTGATTCATTTTCATAAAAGACACACCAAAATAATTCGCATATTGTTTTTATTTTCAATCGCTTTTCAATATTTATTAAGCTTTCATTTTTTATGTAATATTTCGGTAGTCAAATAAGAAGTTTATTTCATATATTATTCGAAACTCATGAAAAAAAATATATACATACTTAATTATACTTAGTTATAATGATTTCTTATTAATCTACCGAATTTTAAATCGTTTTCAAAAGTAAATGAATTTGTATTTTAAAGTTTGCCTTAAAAAAGTATATATTTTGTGTAATTTTTATAACAGAAAAATACTGAAGGCGAAGAAATAGCACAAGAAACAAGTCATTTACCAGCAACACATCCAAGTGATGTATTGGATATGCCAGTTGATCCAAATGAACCCACATACTGTCTATGTCATCAAGTATCATATGGTGAAATGATTGGGTGTGATAATCCAGATGTAAGAAATATTTAACTATGATTAATTAGGATACATTCCGAAATCAAATATTTTAATTTTTTTAAATTTTAGTGTCCCATTGAATGGTTTCATTTTGCATGTGTTGGCCTAACCACTAAACCGAAAGGAAAATGGTTTTGTCCAAAATGTGGACAAGACAGGAAAAAGAAATAAATTAAAAAAACGAATGTTAAAATATTTTTTGAAAAGTGAATTATTTTTTTTTTCTATTTTAAGATCCTTCTCTTTTGTTTAAATAATTATTATATTTTACTAAAAATGTTAAACCCACAAAATTGTGTATTATATATTATGTTTAGTAATTTAAGGTCTCTTTATAAATGTATTTGATAAGAATTAAAAATATATAAAGTAATTTTATTATATTCTATAGAAATTATCTATATTTATCAGAAAAAATAATATTATTTAACAAATACAATAAATAAGTAAAAAATAATTTTAATAAGTTTTAGTTTTTAAACCACTTTTAGTGAATTTCTAAAAATCTCAGGATGAACAGATGCATACACTTATGTACATGAATTTAAAAATTTACAATACAGGATTATAGATATCTGGAATTCGGCAATCAAACAAATTTTATAAAATATTTTCAAATAGTAAATATGGTTTTATTTAACTATTTGGCCATATAATAATACATTTATTTTTGAAGAGCAATGTTGTCCGTATATTAATTTTAATATTATAACGAATAAAGAATAAAAAGTAATTCGGTAATTTACATTATTTTGTTTACAATCATCAATCAAGTTTTTATTAAGTAAATTTCTTAAAATGCGTTAAATTAGTTTTTACTTTAATTAGTAATTTTTTTTTATTGGGTTTCATTTTGAATCGAATTAGTGATATTAATTTTTCTTGATTGAATAAATTGAAATTTTCAAAAAGTTTTTTAAAATGGTTCTAATAAGTTACAGTAATTTGCAATTAAAAGATATGGAATAGACAGAAAGAACTCTTTATGGTAGCCTGCAACTTTCGCGATGTACAACGCAACTGCTGATTTGTCAGAATATCAAATACAATATTTTTATTTACATATATAATTAGTTTTGGTATCAATCCGGCATAATCTGGGTACATAAAATGACAACTTATACTCTTCGTTTTGTACTTCATAATTTATTGAGATCTCAAAATGAAAAGTTATGAGGAAAAATAACACAGTATAAACTATAAAAATTCCAATTTTTTGGTAAAAATGTAATATATTCATTTAGATTCAAAAGTTACTAACCCATATTCTACAGTTAGACGGGGTTAGATGGGGTCTTTTCTTCACAATTTTGTAAATTCCAGAATAAAATAAATTTTTAAATTTGAAATCTTATACTCAAAATCACAACTGTTTTGAATTATCTAAAATTATTAAAAACTCTAAAACAAACATTAAATTCTATAAATTATTGTAAGGGATTTTGAAAGGTAAGACAGCTAAAAAATATAAATAAAAGTATAAAACAGTATTTTTTTTTAAATCTTATATGTCAATTTATTTTAAATTTTCTTTTTCTTTTTTAAATAAATTATTACATCTACATAATTTTTATATGTATACATATTTGGATAAAATTTATTTCTATTTATTATTTTCATTTACATTTCTATTATATTTAATAATTTTCAATTATTTTATTTTCTTTTAAATTATTATTTAATAATTTTTGTTTAAAGTTACTTTACTTTCATTTTGTTTTACGGATAATCAACATAATATTCGTCATTGCTTCGAATTTTTTCTTATTATTTTAACATTTTTTTTTTTATTTTTCTCTCAATTTTATTCAAATTGTATAGTATTTTTGTTTTTAAATTTTTCATAAAAGAAGGAAAAATAAAATTTCATATTTATTTCATAATATAAATTGAATTTATGTAATATATAATTAGCTAACACATTTAAAAATTTCACACAAAAAATATTTTCACCCTAAATTTAAATTTAACGAAGAATAATTATTAATAAAAAAAAAGACGAAATTTTGAATTTACTTAAACACAAATCAAAAAAATTTTTTTTTACATATTTATTTTACATGTATTTCTGTCATGTTAAAAATTAAATTAATTTTAATTAGGTAATATTTACATATTTATTAATTTTATTAGAATAAACAACATTACAACAGATACTATAATATATATTTCTTGCAAATAATTTATATTTTTTTGTTAATTAAAATTTTAATTTAATAATAAAGGACTAAAAATAAAAACAAATATTTATGAAACTAATTTAGTTCTTACATAAACAGATCGAGACTATTTACCCTTGATGTTTAATTTATTTGTTAATCAAAATCGGTCTCAGCATTTACAACGACATAATCGGACACAAGATAAAACTTAAATAATAATCTAAAATAAAATTATAATTAAAAAAAAAACAACATCACATTTAAAATATTACATCTTAAATAAAAATGTAATAATAATAGTTATTTTAAAAAAAAAGAGGTAATAAGTATATAACTGTTGTTGTTTATTTAACGAAAAATAAACGAAACATTAACGGAACTTTTACATGTAAACAAAAATTTATTTTCTAATTTTAATTATTGAGATTATCTTCAATTTTTTTTTTTTTTTGGTTTTCATTTTTTACAATAAAATTAATAAATCATTTTAGTAAAATTAATCTTTTCCATAATTTAACGAAAGATTTCTAGTTTAACAATAGATTAATAAGTTTTGTAGATAATTTTACAAAATGAAATAAAAAAAAATTATTTACAATAATTTAAGCCAAAGATTTTGTTTAAACACAAAAGTAATAATCGAATAGGAAAATTTTAACATAAATCCAAAATTACTTGAGACTTTTTGACTTAAATATTATTATAAATCTTAAATAAGTTGTAATTTTTCATTAAATTAATTTTATTATAATTTTTCGTTAAATTTATTTCAACTAATTTACTACAGTTTTATTTCATTTTTCTACTTTTTTTTTGTTTTAAGTTAAAATGAAAATGCTAAAAATGGAAAATTTAACAAAAAAAAAACAAAAAGCTGCGTCTCTTCACAAAAGTAATAAAATACTTATTAATTAAAAATTTTCTAAATATTTGGGATTTAAAAAAAAAAAACTCATTATGATCGAATGTTTTCGTTCATTTTCCATTATTAATCATCTTTACATAACACCTGATGGTAATTTTTCATATGGTGTACCTAACGTATCTCTTCGACGTGGTAAAGTTCCGCTTGCTGTTAATGGTGCTGACTCAGGACACCCTAATACCTTTAGTAAATCAACTAAAGCTGAAGTATCATCAACGGAATATTGCGGTGCTGGTATACCACTTCCATTATTTGTTGAAGAACCAGCTGAAGCTGTTGAACCTGTACTACTATTACTGGCATTACTTGAAATTGTCGCATTTGATGATGAGTTTTGATGACTTTTAGCAATTGCTAATGACGCAGCTGCTTTAGCATATGCTAAACAAGTTCTACCTTCATGATCAGTTTTCTTAATATTTGCATTATTCTGAAAGACAAATTAAAAAAAAAAGAAGTATTAAAAATGTGATTTTAATTAATAATAAAATTTTAATATTTACCCATATTAATAGCTGAGCTATAGCTAAATTACCCGTTGCACATGCCAAATGTAATGGAGTTCTCAAATCACGTGTACTAACCGTTGAATTTACTTGATCATGTGACATTTTAGCCAGTACTAAAATTATGGTCTTCATATCAGATCTATAAGATAAGAACACAGTGTTATAACAGGGTAAATTTATTTTAAATTTCATCAATTCAAAAACTTAAAAAAAGAATCACATTTTACCTAACTACAGCCTCAACTAATTGTTGTCCGAGAGGAGCTGCTTGATTGCACATTGGTAAAAATTCTTTAGCCTCATATTTACTACGTATCCAAGCCTCTTTTTCTTCATGTTTTGAATTTGATGTTGGCTTTTTCCTATTTCTAGTAATATTTGCTTCCCAAACTGAATTTGCTAAATTATTACCAATAGCTAACATTACACTCAAATGACCAAGTCTAAAAAAAAAATTAAAAAAAAAATCATGAGTTAAAGTTTAAAATAAAAGTTAATTATTGAAAAAAAAATAATTTAAAACAAAAATAAAATAAAATAAAAAATAGAACTGATTTTTACTCACGGCCAATCATCCAAGTCCAAAGATCTAACTTTACTTATATGTGAACCTAAATTTCTGTGTATTCCAGAACATTCGATACACATTAAAATACCTAAATTAAGACTAGCCCATTCTGGATCTATAATAAAAATATGGAAATAAGATTTTTTTAGAACTTCACCGAATATTTTTTAAAAACTTACTTGCAGCATCACAGTCAACACAAAAATCATTACCCGGTACCCTAGATCTAATCGAAACCATACTTGCTACTTCATTTGAGGTAGCCGGTTTCATTTTACTTGATTCAATATTTTGTAGTGATTTAAATATTTCTTGTTCAATAGCAGCAACCCATTCATCACGTTCTTCACTATTTGCTGCTTCAAAATGCCATTGTTTGCTATCCAGTGATACAATAAAGAATTCAAAACCATCTGGATCATCAATTTCATTATTCTTGACACCACTACTTTTCATTCGACGGTGTCTTTTTTTAACATTTGGTGTTTGAGATTCAATTTTATTTTGTTGCTGCTGTTGCAATTGCTGCTGTTGTTGTTGATTACTATCACTTGGTATGAAAGTTTGTGAATTACTGTTACTCATAGCGATACCTTCATCACCGCTTGTATGTTGCGATGAATTCGATTTTAATGGTTCTCTTAATGTTTCAAATGCTGTAAGCAAGCATTTTTCAGTAGATTTTTTATTATCTTTTGCTAAAGATAAACATCCAATGCCTTCACTTATACCATTTTGTTTACCATTCATTGATGCTGTTAGAGCACTATTTGTAATTATAGATTTTGAACCACGTGGCTTTTGTCCTGGAACTTTAACAGTTACATATTGTAGAGGAATTTCTTTACCATGTACATCATCCATATAATCATGTAATGATGGATGATATGTTAGTCTACCATCATCACATAATGTCACATATTTTTTCTTCCATTCTTTATTCAATGATTTGCTAGATCTTTTATAAAGGTAACCTTGTTTTAAAGGAATTGATCTACCACTACCCATTTCACCATTTTTAAGTTTATCTTCTTTTTTTGATGAAGGTATAAATAGATTTGATCTTCTTCGACTTTTACGGGATGTTGTCGGTGTTGATGTTGGTGTTGGTAAATCTTTTCCATGTCCAGAAGTACCATTCATATCTTTAGAATCTTTTTGAGATGGTGCTAATGATAGTGGCGCTAAATTTTCTGAGCCATGATGCTGTTGATTATTTTGATGATGTTGTGGTTGAGATTGTTGTTGATGATTATGTATGGACATAACATTTTGGTTTAATGGAACAAATTTTGCTATATTATTATTATCATTAGCTATTGCTAACATTGCAGCTTGCTGTTGTTGTGACTGCAATTGACCATGTGATACAGCACCCCATTTTTGATTTTGTTGTTCAACATGTGCAAAATCTGCACTTATTCTCGTTGGTATATGATGGCTTGACGTTGATAGTACATGATGACGATGTGGTAAAGTTAATGTACTACTGTTATTGCTTCCAGTTCCTGTGCTGGCAATTATCGATGGTGAGGATGTTGAAAAACCATTTGATGGACTTGAATGATGAAAACTAGCTACACCAAGACGTGTTCCTTGCGGTGTTGTTGGTCTTGAATTTGTAATACCTGGTGGTGGTCCAGATACTCTATGTTGAACTATTCTTTGGCATGCTAAAAATTTTAAATAAAAAATAATATTATTAATGTAGAATAAAAAATGTATTTATAATATTTTTTTTTTGTTTAAAATATCGCACAATTTTATTTATTAAATTTATCATATTTTTAATACCTTCTTGAAAAACTCTTTCGACATTAAGGCCATATGTAGCACATGTTTCAAAATATGAGCACCTTTTCAAATCATTTGCTAATTTACGAGCTCTTGTATCATCTATTACACGCGGACTCCTGTCACTAATCGCATCTGTACAAACACAAAAAGATAAAGAAAAAATTTTATTTAATATTTAAATTATGAAAAATATTGATGAAATTTTAAAAAATTTTTTATTTACCTTGTGTTCCAACTAATATGATCGGAATTTCAGCTGTATTACGAAAATGCGCCATTTTTGTGTAATAACTGTAAACTGCATTAAAACTAGCCTCGTTTTCTAAACTAAATACAAATATAACAGCATCTACCCAAGCAGCAAACTGAAATTGAAAAAAAAAAAATTTAATATTTACCCAAATTTTCTAGGCTTATATGTAAGTGTTTAAAATTACGGACTAAAAAAATTTTAATCTCAAAGTACATAACTAAAATTCTAACTCAGGCATTTGATTTCAAGTTCAAACGTGGAACAAACGTAAATAGACAAACAAAATAAGATTAGGAAGATTATTGAAAAATTTATTAACATTTTGGATTTCACCACAAGTTTTCAAGAGTTTATTAAATAATTTTCTCAATTAATTGGTTTAATTCTGCTTTTTGGAGTTTTTAATGAAAAATATATTCAATCTAATAAATGGCAAATTTTTATTTTAAAAAAGTTTTCACATTTGGAATTTTTGCATCTATTTTAGAACCATTCCTTGTTTTCGAAATTTCACATGCCACCCAAATTAACAATTAAAGCTGCACATATACTTGTATAATATTGTCTGAAATACAATAACAATAAAAAAACAAAACTGAAAAAAAAAATTCTCAAGGATCAAGGGCAATAATTGCATACATGCTCTTAATTATTTTGCCTAAAACAAAACATAATTTTTTTTTATACCTATTTAACCGTAATTATAAAGAAATCTTAAGAAAAGGTAAATATCCTTTCAAATTATTCTTGGTTTTTTCTCTGCTTCATTGTATTTTTAACAATATGAGGAAAAACGAAAACAGTCTTGCAACAACAGCCACAACAGCAACAACAAAAAAATTCAACTTTTATAGTTTTTGTTTAATTGTTTTGTTTAATTTTTGTTTTTTGTGTATGTTTTTCTTTCTTATATTTTAGCTTAACTTCCGCCTTCCGCATTAATTCTATTTATTGCGACTAACGATTTGAAAAGAATTAAAAACAAAAAGTAGGTATGCAAAACACAAAAAATTAAGGAGTAAGTAACAACAGAATTGTGAATGAAAATGACTCCAACCATGCAATCAAATTGCTTTTATTGCACATAGCAAAAAATCCAAGAATAATAAAAACAAAAATTAAAGAAAAACAGAAAAAAAGCAATTTTTTTTTTTTACTGTTCTTCTTATTATTAACGATTTTTCTCTATTTTTCTTTTTTTTTCGTTGTTATTCATTTGTGACTTTTCTGGATAATTATTAAAAAGACAGGATTTACATATTCGCATCAATTCATGACTAATTTTCCTTCTCAAGAATTAAAGTCTTAGTTAATAGTTTTTCAAAAATCAGAGATATTATATGTAAGTGTACACTTCGGAGGGCCGCGAAACCTATGTCAGGATGTACACATGTATATAAATTATGTGAATTGTCTTAATTGCAAAGGCCAAAATAACTTTGAAATTAAGACAATAAAACTGTTCCGAATTCGAGAAAATCATTGGAAAAAATGAACAGAAAATTCTGCTAAAAAAAAACACTATCTGTCAAACAGAATTCATTTGTCAAATCAGTGATTTCAGTTATCAGCTTCTATTAATACGATCGTCATTAGAATAGCCAAAATATGTTTGCGTTGTTGAAATGGCATGCGATTAGTAAGTATTGTGGCCCTTTTCTAAAGTAAATTCATAAAATTTCGGGAAATTGTTTTTAGTTACTAGGGACACCATTCAAGCTTCAAATTTTCTCACTTTTAATCGCAGTATAATAGCTGTAAATATTACCTTCATATTCTTAAATTGGCAACTGCTGTTGTTGGCCACCTATGCTCTCTTTTCTTTTATATTACTTTTATTTTTTATTTAAATAAAAAAGCTGTGTTAATTTTAAAATTTTAAATAGGCTTACAATTTTCAATATTGCAAATATTAATATTTTCTATAAATTTTTTGTTTTATGCCTTGAAATTTATATTTTATGTACTTATATACATGCATAATATATGTTCAAATACGCAAGCATTCTTATCCAGCTATATACATTTGAGCACTTATTATGACTCTGACATTGTTCTTGTCGCCATTGTTACATAATAGTGTATAATTATTTTCGACGTCGTCATTATCATATCGTTCTATTTTGAGCGATATAACTGTGTTCCATAGAGAAATTTCTTTCTTTATGTACATGATATCGTACAATAAAATTACAGTTAAATTTTGATTGATGTTGATGATACGTATTGTACGATATGCATGTATGTATGTACCTAGTATTGATAATGATGAATATTATGTTGGATGCTTTTTTAATGATTTTTACACATGTAGGCATATGCATTTAATACAAAATATTTTCAATAGACTTTTAATTCAACTTTTCTATATATAGTAGACTTTAAAAAAAAGAATAGAAAAAGTTCATTATCCTTTATAAAATCGTATATGTGTGAGAGTATGCTTGTATGTGTGTAATGCATCAATAAGGAGTCTAAAAACTTTATATTATATGGAATGATGAATTATTTTTTTTAAAAGGGCTTTTGCTTTTCTATTTGTATGTATGCACATATATACATACATACATACATATAACTATGTACATTTCAATTTTTTAGTCTACTGGTAGGCTGTACAGTGTTATATTTTATATGCACGTAGTAAGATAAAGTAGGTATATACAATATATATGTATGTAAGTATACAATGTACATTGAAAATTTGTATTTCAAGTTTTTACACATACATACATATGCATACGTGTAAGAATATACAAGACTTATGACTAAGTACCTTATATGTACTTTCTATATCAAATTAATTCAGTTGAATTTTCAGTTGTTCCGCATTTTCCTTAAAAAAAACCGTAATAATTTAGATCTCTAATAATTTTAATAACATTATCATTATTCCTTTATTTGTCGTTTTAATTAAAACAATAATTATAAAGGCTCAAAATAAAAGATCTCAAAAAATAATCATAAGACGTCGAGGTATACCATATAGAAAAATTAGCAAATAACCTCAGGTTCCTATATATGTAACCTACAATTTAAGTAATTTTATAGAATTAGATATATAGAATTCAAAGACAGAGAGTCCTATTGAATTTTGTACAAAAGAATTTTGAAAATCAAAAATAAATAGACTAGTATAGGAAAAGTCTCCCAATAAACAAATTGGTATAAAAATATAAAAATTTGCAAATAGGATGCATATGTTTTGCACCAGGTTTTCGGATATATGTGTGTACAAATATTATACCGGGTGATTCACAGAGGTATTCAACCAAATGTACCATCGATTAGAGAATGTGAAATAAGTAAAACTTTTGTGCTGGAGTGAGTGTTTTCAACATCGTCAAACTGGTTTATTTGTAGGAAAATGTTCAATCAAGATCAAGGACTTAAAATTAAACAAAATTGAAATTTCAATATTTTTATTTTATACCGCCTGGATCATTAAAGATTTTTTAATGTTTTTTAGTTTAAATTAGAGCATAAGAAAAGAAAAGCAATTCTGTGGAAAATTCTTTTGAAGTTTCAAAAATATTCATAAGAATTTTCGGGACAAAAAAAACGTAAAACAATAAAAAATTGGAAAAATTGAAATGCTTGCAGTTCGGAAAATGAATAGCCAAATAATGGGCTTCATTGTTTTCAAGCCCTCCCTTTGCACTTACTAGCCTTTAAATTTTAGCAATCTATCTTTTTTGGAATGGAACTTATAAACAAAAAGAATTAAACATGTTAAATGTTTCTGAATTTTTTTGGAATCGCTGTACCTCGGGAACTACTTAGATTTGGCACTCACTACAGAATAAAAATTTTAGTCATTTTTGATCCTCTAACGAACCGATGGTATATATTGTTGTATACCTTTCTGATTCACCCTGTATATACGAAAATAATTACAAATTATTACGGCCACGTAAAATAGATTCTTAGATAATTTGACATTATCCATATGCATACATGCATGTTACAATAATATGTTATAAATATTTGATATGTACATAAATATAAAAGACTATTTTATATTATTGCTCAAATGTTGACTCTGAACTTTAAAAAAATGTAAATTTATACAAGACATTGATAACAAGCTCAGTCTAGAACAAAAATTTTTTCTTATATTTACATTATTTATGTAATCTTGTATGTAACGTACATATATATATGTAACGTTAAGGTTACTTATTTGCCAAATAAATATTCATATAAGTATGACACAATGTATATGTGTAACAAAAAAAAACACATAAGTCTAAGAGAAATTAAAAGATAATAGAGGAAAATTATGGAGAAAGGAAAATTGTAAAGAAAAAAAAAACAAATATTAGAAAAATTACAAAAAAAAACATTTTCAATGGTAAGATGTGATCTCCTCCTGTGCTCTTGAAAATGAAATATTGAAGGACACATTATTATAATTTATATTTTATTAATTGAAAGAAAAAAGGATGTAAAGTAAAGATTAATCTGCATGCATGTACCCCTACGTCCTTACAGTGTTCATATATTATCAGTTTTTTCTCATTAAATTAAAATTTCAAAATATATGAAATAAAAAGGATACAAAAAAGGAAGCAGACTTTCAATGTTTTCATGTTACGAGTCGAGAATTAAAAATTTCAATATTTTTTAAGAAAAACTGCCTATTTTAAAAGAATCAAATTTAAGCATATTTTCGGAATTTAAACTTAAAGTTAAAAATGTCTTAATTAAAAACTTAAGCCAGGATTAAGACATCAAATATATTTAAAATTCGGTCAGATTCAATTTTTTCTTAAATAAACAAATTCCATAAACAATGGTTTTGATAGCTTAAACCCTGATTTTGCTTTGATTATTTTTTTGTTGTAACATTATCAATTTAGTTCTAGCCTTAAAAATTACAAATTATACAATTGAAATTGAAATATATTGTAGAACAGCAGTTTAAACTAAGAAGTTCTTTAAAAATATATAGGTTCTATGATCAGATCTGGAATGAAATTAGATTTTTTTATAAATTTTCCCAACAATATTTTAATTTTAATAAAGAATTCCTCAAAAACTCGCATGATTCAAATATAAAATTTATTTTCTTTAATCATTTAATATATTTGGATAGGCATTAGACTTATA